TTTTTTATTTTTATATAAAAAAAATTATTATATAGTTTTAAATAGTTTTTATTTAAAGATCTTATTCCAAGAATTTTTAAAATTATTCGGTAAAAATATATTTAGTAAAAAATAACTAAATATAATAACTATTATTTTATATTATAATAATTAGAATTAATTTTCCAAAGATATTAACCAAGATTTAAGTAGTTAGTAAGTATTTTATAAATAATTAAAAAATAATTACTATATCTATATATTATTTAAAATTTATATTTAAAATAATCTTTTTAATATTAATATTATAAAAAAAATAGAATTAGAATAGTTTTTTAATAATCTTTTTAAATAGTATAAATATTTTTTAAAAAAGTAAATAATAGCTGTTAGTTATATTCTAGAAGATTAAAATATAAAAAAATATAATTATTTAATAATTAGTTAATAAATATTTCTAAATTAATTAAAATTTATAAATTTATTTTTATACTACTCTGATAAAAAAATTATAAAAAAAATCTTATTAATTATCTTAGATTATAGTTTTTTAAAAGATATATTAATTTTAAATAATAAAAATATTAATAGTAATTAAATCGATTTTTTAAATTTATATAAAATTATAGTATTCTAAATATTATAATAATATTTTTAGATATAAATCTAAGTACTTTATAAATAGCTATTAAATAATTATAAAATAATTAATAAATATTTTTTATTTTTATAAATAAATCTATATTTTATAAATAAATAATTTTATTAATCTTCTGTTTTTTTAAATATAAAAATAAATACTATTTATAAAGAATTATTAAAATATAATTCTTATTATAAAAATTAATATATATTTTAATTAAAATAAAGATTTAATACTTTTTATAGAATTTTTTAAGTTATAGATTTCAAAGAAACTAAACTTTAAAATAATTAATAAATATTTAATAAGTATTTAATAATTAATTAAAAAATATTCATTTATTATTATTATAAGATTATTAATATAATTAATAATTTTTTTTAATTTTTAAAAAATCTGCTCTGGTAACTTATTTAATAATAAAAATAAATATTTATAAATATTATATAATATAAATAAATAATAAAAATATTATTTGATATCTATAGATATAAATATACTAAAAATAATATTATATTTTATATATTTTAATAGTCTATATTTTTATAGATAATTTTTATTTATAATTAATTAATAAATATTTATTAACTAGTTTATAACTAATAGAAAAGTATATATTATATTATTTATATCTAATAATTAATAATTTTAAACTTCTATATTCTTCCTCCGAGAGAATAATATTATTATTAAATAAATTTTTTAAAAATATAAGATTTAAAATAATAATTTCTTAAATATTATCTTAAAAATTATTTCTCTAAAAAATTATAATTATTATGAATATATTTGATATATAAAATTACTTCCTTCTATAAATCCTAAAAATATAAATATTTAATAAATATTTATTAATTATTTTTTAAATAATTAATAAAAATTTAAAACTTACTAGCTGTGGATATTTTTTAAAAACTAATTTATATAAATAACTAATTTATATAAGCTAAATTTTTTTTAAAATATCTAATTTAGAAATAGTAGAAACTAAAATTTAAAATAATTAGTTATTAAATATTTCTAGATTATTTAATAAATACTTATCTATAAGTATTTTTTTTATTAGATTAATTTCTAATATTTTAACATTTTAACAGATAGTATAAATTTTTTTTTTATTATTAATAAAAATATAATAATAGCCAGTAAGTTCTGGATTTAAGAATTTATAAATAAAAATTCTAGAATATTTCCAGATCTATTATTTAACTAAATAATTAAAAAAAAATAAAAAATAAAATATTTTTAATTTTTAACTAATTATTAATTATATTAATTATATTAGATTTTAAATACTTGTTAATTAGTTATTAAGTATTTATTAAATAATTAAATATTATTTTTTAGATTATCTATTTTATCTTATTCTATATTTATTAAAAAACTAATATAATATAAATATATTTATAAATATAGCTTGTTAGATATTTAAATAAATTATTAATATATTTAAAATTAAAAGATATAAATAATAAGAATTTAGTTTAGATTAAAAATATTAGAATTATATTATTCTAGATTAATATTATTAATTTTTATATTTTAAGTAGTTAATAAGTAGTTAAATACTTTTAATTTTTAAATATTAAATTTTTTATTAGGATTTATAAATAAAAGCTTGTCGAAATCTATTTAAAATAAGTACTTAATAAATACTTAGTAAGTACTTAATATTATATTTAAAATTATAAGTATAAAATAAAAGAGAAGTTAAAATTCAGTAGGAAGATATAGTAAATAAAAAGATTATATAACTTATTCTTAATAACTAAGATAGGTTTTTATTATATAAAGTAATAAGAATCACGCGACCCTCCCCGAAGGGTCACGCGACCTGTATCCACGTACAAAATACCCAAACAAAAACCAAGCTGATTAGGTAACCCTGACAAGTCCAGCACAGCATACACCAACATAAACCACAAAGAAATTGAGATTTGAGATACAAAACTATGATCAAAACCAGAAATGTCACATGAAAGAAGAAAGAGAGAGAGAGAGAGAGAGATAAGCACGACAAAGTTACACTAGCCGCAGAAAGACCCGAGTATCTTTGTATACGACACCGCAAGGAGTACCATAGACTCTGACATGCGTACACGTACTGTAGAGTCGTGAGTACCATACCTCAAGGTTAAGGTAGATGTAAGACATGTCCACGGTTGATGATGGGTCGGGCGATGGATGCCTCAGAAGTCAAGTGCTGCCCTGCTGCCTGACTGCCTGACTGCCTGAGTGCCTGACCACCACAGTCGCCCTGGGCAATTTTCGCCCCGCGTTCACAAAAAGATCGTAAAACCAACTACTTACACACACACACTTACACACACACACCACAGCTGGCGACGGGTGGAGCAGCAGCAAGACACCCTCAAATGAGGCCACATTAGCCGATGAAGATCACCCCAGTCCAGTACAGCCACTGGATGATAACTTTACATACATCATGAACCTACTAGCCTGCCTGCCTGGCCGGCCCCGTCACGCAGCCAGCCTCCACCAGTCGATACGAGAGGTCTTGATTCGAGCCTATCACAGTCGTAATACTCAGCTGAACATCGCACGCCACAGCTCAACTAGCAAGAAAAGCCGATGAGCCATCGATGAGCCATCAATGAGGTCCACACCTTGTTTGATTTCCGCTATAAAAGCTTCTGCTCAACCTCGGCCTCCCGTCGTCGGGGGTTGCTTTCACCAGCAGAAACAACCACCATGTTGAGCCTGGACTACAGCCTTTCGAACCTTCAGGGCAAGACAATCCTCGTCACGGGCGGTGCCTCGGGCTTTGGAGCCGCCTTTGCCACTCGCTGGGCTGCCGCTGGCGCCCAGGTGATTGTTGGGGACATCAATCCCGCCGGAGAGACGGCCGTGGCGCAAATTCGCTCCGACTCCTCCAACGACAACGTGCACTTCATCCATCTCGACGTCACATCTTGGGCTTCCCAAGTCAACTTCTTCCGACAAGCGGTGCAGCTCAGCTCGCACGGTGGGATTGATGCCGTCGTGGCCAATGCTGGCGTCAACGATCGGGACGAGGCGAGACGGCTCGAGTACCCTGCCGTGGATTACTCGAATGACCCCAACCCCCCAGCGCCCAGCATGAAGACGGTCGACATCAATCTGACGGGGGTCCTGTATACGGTCCACCTGGCCCAGTGGTACCTCCCTCGGAACCCTGACTCGCTACCGTGCTCCGAAACCGGGCAGACCGCTCCGCGAGATCGCCATATCCTTCTGGTCGGCTCAACGGCGAGCTTGCACCCGCTCATCACCCAGGCACCCTACACGATCACCAAACATGCGGTCTTGGGTTTGTTCCGGTGCCTGCGCGTCACAGCCCCCGTTTCGGGCGGCATTCGCGTCAACATCATCTGCCCCTATTTCACCGACATTGGCATGTTGAATGGGCCAGGTCGCATGGTATTAGCTGGAGTCCCCCTCGGGCAGCCGGAGGATGTGGTCGAGGCGGCCACGTATCTCATGGCCAACCAAAAATGCAGCGGGCGCTCTCTGGTCACTGGCCCCCGATTGAAACTGGACCTCCCTGACCGTGCGTACTTGACCCGGGATTCTCTCGAGGAGGCGGTGCAGTACACGATTGCTGCGGGCGAGGATTCCGAGAAAGGCGTTTGGGAATGCCAATTGCACGATGTGGAGACCACGGATATCTTCACAGACCGGATGATGAAGGCCGTGAAAACGGTGGTGGCTGCTCGGGGATGGATTGGGTGGGCCAAGGGGATGATTGGGGCGTTGCTTTGGCCGCTGACGAAGAGTTCACCTCAGGCATATTAGAGTTATACGTAGTTGGTGAATCCATGCAAATCGACACTCTTAACAAGACACTTGTATACTACCTACTAGGCTTGTATACTATTGCTCCCGACCGCGGCGGGCGCGTACTACGTATGACTTGATTGGGACTAGCGGTGACACTGACTCGGGACGATCCCTCGATACTTTCACGGTTACAACTTCATCTACTCATCCACCACCGACAGCAACACCTCTCACCTTATGCTAGTCTTTGCAGTCTTTGCAGTCTTTGCAGTCTTCGCAGTCTTCGCAGTCTTCGCAGATCCTCGCTGTCAACCCAGGGCAATGATCGATCATAATCCACCAAGCCCTTTCCCTCCGCTGACCACGATGGAGCTTGGCAGCTCGAATTCGCGGTACCATCACCTGCCGAATTCATCGTATCACCACCCAGTAAACCGGGCACACCATCATTATCATCATCATCATCATCATCATCGACATGTGAGAACCTCCGAGCCAGATTACTCTACCCTCGGCTACCCTGATGCACGGGTTATTATTCTCACTCTCGTCTCTCCTGTAATTCTCACCATTCTCTCAAATATCCCGACAAGCAAAAATGGCCCAATCCTCCTTGGATGACATCTCGCCCTCCTTCGAACACTCAGCTGGGATTTCTCCCTCTTCAGCAGCGGCACAACTGCCCACAGCCACTGAGACGATGAGTGCGACACATCCGAACGATAATGTCGATGACACCGGTTTCCCTGCTCCCGTCCCCATTGCGATCGTAGGTATGGCGATGAGGCTACCGGGGGACCAACGCCAGTGACTTCTGGCAGATGCTGATCGACAAAAGAGACGGCCTTTGCCGGGTACCCAGGGATCGGTACAATATCGACGCCTTCTACCATTGTGACGGGGTTCCCGGCACCATTCGGACTGAGCACGGCTACTTCTTACAACAAGACATCGCCCAGATAGATACCGGCTTCTTCGGCATGTCGAAGATCGACGCCTCCAAATTGGATCCCCAGCAGCGAATTCTACTGGAGGTGGTGTGGGAGTGTATGGAGAACGCGGGCCAGACCGATTGGCAAGGAACCAATATTGGCTGCTATGTGGGCAATTTCGGTGAAGACTTGCTAGACCTGGCCAGTAAGGACACTCTGGCCATTGACCGGTACCGCGTGATGGGGACGGGGGACTTTGCGCTGGCCAACAATGTCCCCTACCAGTATGACCTGAGGGGCCCCAGCGTGGTCTTTCGGACGGGTTGTTCATCGTCCATGGTTGCCCTTCATGAAGCGTGCCAGGCACTCTATTCGGAATGTCTCTCTGCCATCGTCGCAGGGACTAGTCTGATCATCACACCCACAATGTCAATCACGACCTCCGTCAATATGGTGCTATCTCCCAGTGGAACGTGCAGAACATTCGACGAGAACGCGGACGGCTATGGCCGAGGAGAGGCTATCAATGCCATTTTCATCACGCCTCTCGATGCGGCCATGCGGGACGGCGATTCCATCCGTGCGGTTATCCGATCAACGTCCGTCAACTGCGATGAAAAACTCCGAGCATATCTACACCCAGATCCCAGGCACAAGAACGATTGATCCGCAGAACGTACCACAAAGCTGGAATCGAGGACATCGACAAGACAGCATTTTTTGAATGTCACGGCACAGGCACCGCAGTGGGAGACGTGGCGGAGACCTCGGTGGTGGCTGAAATCTTTGGCAAGAACGGCATCTACATAGGCGCGGTATGTTGGCCCCTCTCCGCTGTGGGAAGACTTGAGTGACAGCCATAATATGATGAGGCATTCAGGTCAAGCCCAATGTCGGTCACTCGGAAGGTGCCTCTGGCATTACGAGTATCATCAAATGTGCCCTGGCTTTAGAAAAGAGGACTATACCTCCGAATGTGTTCTTCGAGGAGCCCAATTCGAAAAGTGGGTTTGCATGATCACAGCCCCCCACATTACCTCACTTACATGGGAATAGTTCCCTTTGAACAAGTTAAATTAAAGGTACCGGTCGAAGCCATTCCATGGCCAAGCGACCGACATGAAAGAGTTAGTATGAACTCCTTTGGTATTGGAGGCACTAATGCGCACGTAAGTCCCCTGGAACAGCTGATAATGCTTGAGTGTGCTCACTGTAACTTGACCAAGGTCGTGATCGACTCTGCCGCCTCGATCTGTGGCCAAAGACCCGAGAACAAGACGGATGCGAGCTTAAGAAACGAAGTGCCTCATCTATTATTACACTCCGCTAAAAGTTCCAAATCACTGGATGGCAACATCCAGAATGCCGATTACTTCGAAGCTTACCAGCGCTTCGTGGTAATCTGGCTTACGCACTGGGGGTTCCACAGGGAACAGCTACCCCATCGGGCGTTTTCTATAGTGGGTGCGGATGGAGCTCTGACTACAGTCGCTCGGTCTCGAGTCACCAGGCGGGAAATTGTGTTCTTCTTCAGCGGTCAAGGGGCCCAGTGGCCTGGAATGGGGAGAGAGCTTCTGCGAAAATCACCCCAATTCCAAGCAGACATTCGTGCCCTCGATCGGCACTTGCAGCAACTCCCAAACGCAACTGGGTGGTCCATTGAAGGTATGTTATGAACATCGTTTTGGCATCAATGAAACTCATGTTCGTTAGACGAACTTCTCAATTGCGACGATCTCGACCGGATGAGTGCATCAAGACTGGCCCAGCCGCTTTGTACAGCAGTTCAGATTGGTCTCGTCAACTTGCTTCGAGAGTGGGGAGACATTCCATCGATGGTCGCGGGCCATGCGAGCGGAGAGATAGCTGCTGCATATGCATCTGGGGCCACCTCAGCAGAAACAGCGATAACAATTGCATACCGCCGTGGGCAAGCTGTCAATACAGCAAACTCCTCAGGTGCTATGGCGGCGGTCGGGCTGGGTATCGAGGAGGCGAAATCGTTCCTCAAAGAAGGCGTAGTCATCGCGTGTGACAACAGCCCAAAAAGTGTCACGCTTTCTGGTGACAAAGAGCTGCTGGTGGAGATCATTCGAGACCTGGAGGCCAAGGAGGTCTTTTGTCGTCGCCTGGCCGTCAACGTTGCATATCACTCCCATCACATGAAATCAGTTGGCGAAGCTTATGAGCGACGGTTGGGCAATTTGATGTTCAACACCACCATGGTTCCACTCTACTCGACCGTCACCGGCGAGACCATTATGGAACCCGGGCAACTCACTGCTGCATACTGGCGACAGAACTTAGAGTCTCCGGTTCTGTTCAAAACGGCGATCCAGAACCTGCTGAGCACTCACCCAGGGTCTCGTTCTTTCGGCCCACACTCTGTGCTCGAGGCACCTTTACGCCACATTATATCTCAGGTGGAAGAGAAACAGAGACCAGAATATACGCCGACTTTAGTGAGAGGCAAAGAGCCCTGGGAATGCCTCCTGAGGACAACCCGCCACCTACACATACGTGGCGTGTCGATTGATTTGAGTAAAGTTATTCCTCGGGCGAAGGTCCTTACGGACCTCCCACCGTACTATTGGACGCATGATGAGCGCTTTTGGAGCGAGACTCGGATGGCGCACGACTGGCGGTTACGCGAAACGCGGCATCACGAATTGCTGGGGTCGCGATGCCTCGAATCCACTAATGTAGAGCCTGTTTGGAGAAACCTGCTGCAACTGGATAACGTTCTCTGGCTTCTAGATCATAGAATCACTGGAGAGGTTGTGTTTCCTTGTGCAGCTTATGTCGCCATGGCGGGTGAAGAAGTCCGCCAAGTATCGAATAGCGATGACTACACCATTCAGAACCTCTTTATTAGAGCTGCCTTGGTTCTTTCCGGTGACGAACCCGAAGGAATCGAACTCATCACAAGTCTTCGTCCTCACAAGCTGGCGGATAATGTCGACTCTCACTGGTATGAATTCACTATCAGCTCGTATCAGCACGGGGTCTGGACCAAATATTGTGTGGGGCAAATCCGCGCTGGGTCCATTCGCAGACACCCGGACACGCAAGTCCAAGCTTACTTACGAGAAGTGTCTTTGGAAAAATGGTATGCTGCACTGGAAGCTCGAGGATTAGAGTACGGAGCCCATTTCCGGGGACTCCGCAAGATCACTGCGAGTCCATCAAGCAGCCGTGCGGCTGCGGAGTTACAAGACAGCGATAACTACTATGTGAGCGAGTATGCTCTCCACCCCATTCTTATCGATCAGTGTCTGTAGCTCTTGAGTGTGGCGGCCACACAGGGTATTAGTCGTCGTATGACTCGATTGTGTATCCCGACTGCCATTCAAGATCTCTATGTTACTCACGCGCGCGATACTATGCAACTGAATGTTTCGTGTGACATGACCGGTGGAATGATGACCGGGGAGGCCTTCCTCGCGTATCAGGATCGTGTGGTTCTCTCGATGCAGCACGCAACATTCTTTGGTGTTTCGGAGTCTGCTCTTGAGGATACGCCGGCACCGCCGCTGTCAACCAGTGAATGGAGACCGTATGTTGATTTCACGCCACTCGATACTTTATTGCCTCCTATTGAGAAGGGCCTATTCCCAGGAAAACTGTTGGCAGAACTTTTTGGATTGTTCGTCGTCGAGACCTTTCACAGAACACGTTCGGCTTGCCCCAAACAAGACCACCTGAAGAAATACCTCTCGGATTGAGAAAACCCATGCTCAGATTTGTGATCGCAATTCCAACCTTGTTCCAGAGATCAGGGACAAGTTTGCCAATAACCCGACTGCACGATGGCCCTACCTCGAGGCGTCATTGCGCAAATCGCTTCCCCCATCAAGTGCTGACCCACTTGCACTTGCTGAGAGGATCCTTTCGAACATTACCGAGATTCTCGACAATCAAGTCAACCCGCTGGAGCTACTGATGCAGGATGACGGACTTCAGCATCTGTATGCCAACATGCCCTCGATCACACGGTGGGAGGAGTATCTAGCAACACTCGCGCATTCGAAGCCGACACTGCGCGTATTAGAGATCGGGGGCGGCACCGGTGGGACCACCTCCGCTGAACTCGATGGCCTCTCAAGGGCATCGGGACCAAACAAAGGCAGGATGTACGATAAGTACACTTTTACCGACATTTCAGCGACCTTCCTCGCACCAGCAAAAGAAAGGTTCAAACAGCATGAAGGGATGGAATATCGAACGCTGGATATATCTAAAGATCCTCGGGAGCAAGAATTCGAGAGCGAGAGCTACGACTTGGTGATCGCATGAAATGTCCTGCACGCAACCCCTGACATTGTCGAGTCTTTGAAAAATGTCAGGCAGCTTCTGGCACCCGAGGGCCGCTTGTTGCTACAGGAGTTGAGTCATGATGTTCCTATATTTGATTACATCATGGGCGCTCTACCAAGTTGGTGGCTTGCAAATGATGGGAGCGAACGCCCCTACCTCAGCCCGGAGCAATGGCATCATGCCCTGCTGGAAGCAGGCTTTACGGGCACCGATGTCGTGCGCTTGGATAATGAGGCCCCTTATCATGTCAACGCAAATATGCTGTCGAGAGTCTCGTCGCCAAGGGCATGTGAGAGAAAGGCGCTAAATCTTCTCTATCATGACCCCATCCCCGAATGGGCTCGTCAACTTGAGACTCAGCTTCTTCTACATGGTTGGGATGTCCAATGGCTCGCTCTAGGCACTACTCCAGCAGAGAACACGGATGTCATCTCTCTGTTGGATGTAGAGAGCCCATTTTTACACACCATCACTCGAGAGAATTACGACAATTTCCAGAAGTCGGTCGCCTCCCTTCGAGGACACCTAATATGGCCGACAAGACCAATTCACCCGCTGTATGGCCTGAAGCTCGATCCGTGATACGCTCTGGTATCTGGATTGATGAGGGTCCTTCGCCAGGACATTGGTGTTAAGGCCATGACTATTGAGCTCGATGAATTCGACGACGATGCCATCCGAGGTGTTCTCGGCGTCCTGGACGCGATCAAAGCTCACGGGGAAGAGACTCGCTTCGAGTTTGATCATGAGTTCGCACTGCATGATGGATTGATACACGTTCCGCGTTTCAGATGGTACTCTACGGAACATGCTATGAGCTCGGTACAGAGCTGCGTTCCGAGAGCCATGGTTGTGAAGTGCTTCGGTATCCTCGACTCAATCGTATGGCAGTTCGCCAATCCACCTCAGGCCCTTGGGGCAGACGAGGTGGAAGTTGACATGGGTTAAACTTTCGGGTGAGTTAGGTCCTCCATTCCGGATGGCAAATCCGCGTACTCAGACCATACGTGTTCTAGGATATAATGGTCAGCATGGGCTTGATGGGCTCCACCGATGAAATTGGCATTGATGGCAGCGGGATTGTGCGCAGAGTTGGAACCGCCGTGGCTACGCTGCAGGTAGGGGAGTCTGTGGTACTGTCAGGAACCGGGTTGATGTGCATACGCAAGGTGCTGCCCGCCGACTTTTGTTACCGAATTCCAACCCAGATGAACTTGGCCGACGCCGCTGCAACGCCATGCATCTTCTTGACCGCGATGTACTCGTTGGTGACCGTGGCAGACATACAGCCTGGTCAGTCGGTGTTAATCCACAGCGCCTGCGGTGGCGTTGGACTTGCTTCAATTCAGATCTGTCAGATGCTAGGCGCTGAAATTTATGTCACGGCAAGAAGTCCGGAGAAGAGACAGTACTTGATGGACCAATGTGCTATCTCCGAGGACCACATCTTCGATTCACGCAGCACATCTTTTGTCTCCGGCATCATGGAGCGCAACAAGAATCGAGGTGTCGACGTCGTATTGAACTCCCTGGCAGGCGAGCTGTTACATGCCTCTTGGAGATGCGTCGCTGCGTATGGCAAGATGGTTGAACTGGGAAAACGAGACTTCCTCGGCCACGGCAAGCTGGACATGGACATGTTCGGCGGGAATCGCGCCTTTTTTGGGGTGGATTTGTTCAAGCTAGGACTGGAACGCCCTGATGTTGTTCGTGAGACAATGTCTAAGCTAATGAAACTACATGAAGATCGAACATTGCAGCCCATTCAACCAATCAATATGTTCGACGCGGCAGATGCTGTCAGAGCCTTTCGACTGATGCAAACTGGACAGCACATTGGGAAAATTGTCATTCGCATGCCCGTCGACCCTTCTACACTTCAGGTAACTGGCGCCCATGTCAGCAGCGCTTTGTTCCGATCTGACGTAGCTTATCTTCTCGTCGGAGGCTTGGGAGGCCTCGGCCGCGCGATTGCTACCTGGATGGTTGAGAGGGGGGCACGCAACTTTGTGTTTCTGTCTCGCTCAGGCTCAAGCGCGCTTATCGTCAGATCATTTATCGAGGACCTGAAGGCGCAGGCTGAATGCGAAGTTACGGTCATTCAAGGGACTGCTGTCAACCTGGATGACGTTGATCGCGCCGTGCGATGCTCACCAAAACCTCTAGCGGGTGTGATCCAAATGTCCATGGTTCTTCAGGTGAGTTTCACCATTGGCCCCCTCCACGCAAGGCTTCTTTATCTATGATAACTGACACCAGCCCGGAACGGCATGCAAACAGAATCAATCATTCGCCGAGATGACGTTCGATGAATGGACCCAGGTGCTTCAGCCGAAAGTGGACGGAACGTGGAATCTCCATCAGGCCACCAAGACCCTGCCACTTGACTTCTTCATTCTTTTTAGTTCGATCAGTGGACTGTGTGGTATGACAGGTCAAGCCAACTACGCCGCTGCGAACACCTATCTGGACGCCTTCGTTCATTCCGCCGAGCCCAGGATCTTCCTGCTCATGTGCTCGACCTTGGATTCATGGGAGACATTGGATACATCGCCGAGAAGTCCCAGCGGACGATGGAACTCAATCGAACTCTGCGCATGCAGGTATTGAGCGAGCGGGATCTTTTACAGGTCCTAGAACTCGCGGTTCTCAACGGACCCCCTCAGGTTGCCCTTGGGATTAGTACGAGTGCGACTTCTACGGAAGGTATTGCAAAACCTTGGTGGGCCAGAGACATCCGGTTTGCAGCCTGGAGCCATCTCTCAAATACCGAGGGCCCAGATTTAGATGAACAGGAAGACAAGCTCCGTTACTTCCTCGTCGAGATTGACAAAGATTCATCCATCCTCAACCATCCAGATACCGAGAACCAATTCACTTACGAGCTGGGGAAGATGATTGCGACCCACATGTCTTACCCAGAGGACATGGAACTGGCAGAACTGGCTGCTATCGCCATAGACTCGCTCATGGCGATTGAGATTCGAAGCTGGTTCCGCCGTCACTTCAAAGTCGAAATCTCCCTGCTTGAGATCGCGAACGCGGGGACCGTAGGGGGACTCGGCAAAGCAACGATGAGAATTCTCCGCGCCAAGTATGCCTCCGAGGAGCTGAAGCCTGGTGATGCAGGTGCCCTGCTTGATGCCGATCGTGGCAAGACGGACGATGTCGAGTTATGCCAACGAGATTGGGAACTGGGTCGAGACCTCCACCCAGTAGCGGGGACAGCGTCAGAATGGCATACCCCTGGAGAAGGCCGTGTTTTACTCACTGGCGCGACTGGGTTTCTCGGGGCTTACCTCCTCTCCTTACTGGTCGGCCTACCGCATGTACAGCAGGTGATGTGTCTTGTAAGAGCTCCCGATGCCGAAACGGGTCTTTCGCGAATCAAGAAGGCGTTTCATGAGTATGGCCTCCAGCTCGATTTGGAGTCCAAGTTGAAGGCGGTTCCCGGGGATCTCGTTGATCCCATGCTAGGTCTCGGAGCGGAGCAGTATGCAGAGCTCGCCCAATGGGCGAGTGTGGTGTTTCACTTGTGGTGTTTCACTTGGGCGCGGTGGTTGATTGGACTTTGCCTTACTCATGCCACCGAGACGTCAATGTCATGGGCCTATACCATCTACTTCGTTTTGCCAACACCGGTCGTCTGAAGCCATTCCATTATACTTCCTCGATCAGTGCGTGGGGTACGGTCATTCACCTCACGGGTGCGATGGTTCCCGAGGATGAGCGACCAACTTTCGACCCGGAGGCTCTCAAACAGCTGTTTGGCTATGCGCACAGCAAGGTTGTCGCCGAACAGGTGGCCTGGAACGCGATTGCCAACGGCTTCCCCGTCACCATCCACCGACCCGGCTATGTCACTGCTCATAGTGTGACGGGCATGTCCAAAGCGTCCGACTTGGTGAATTATCTGATGAGCAGTTGCATCCGCCTGGGCAGCTATCCGGCTGCGCCTAACATCCGCAATCAATTCACTCCGGTTGACTTTTGTTGCTCGGCTCTTTTGCGGTTGTCTCTGGCCCCTGCTAGCCTTGGCCATGCGTTCAACATCTTGCGGCCAGACCAGAGTCAAACCGTGACGTTCGAAGAGACCTTCGAGCCGCTGAGTCGCGAATGCTCCTCTCCACTCCGCCGCTTGCCGACGGCCGAATGGATCGAAGAATTCCGACAAGGCGCGGATCCGCGACTGAGGCAGGGTTCGTCCATGATGATCGATACATTGCACGAGTTTATCAACTTCTGGAGGCTCGATGCTGGCACGAATGCATACTTTGACACACGGAAGCTTCGACAAGCGTTGGAGGAGTTTCCCGAATTGCTTGCGGTGCCCAGCATGGGTGAGCTGATGCATACCTATTTCCGTGCTTGGGCTGAATCATAGGGAGGACAGTGGTACATGTAGGGTACCGTGGTTGAGACTGAAAATTTCAATGTACTTCGATGATGACTGTACTTTGCTCTTTGGGGCTCTTTGAAATCGAAGTGGTCGAACCGAGTGGATGTTGTAGCTCGGTAGACCGTCATGCCCTGAAATTGGTTCGTTGTCAAGACACTGATTGCCATTGCCTCTAACTGCTGATCTTCTGCGTGACGTCCATTCTACCCCCTCTTGTATCGCTACCGAAATGTTCGTAGTTGTATGGAGATTGGAGTCATCGCTCACCTGCAGCAATGGAACTCTCTCGAATAACAGAATGTCGGTCGGTGTCTAATATCAAAGGCAGCAACAAGACCGGCAGCCACCACCTCCTCATGCCCAACCCTACTTCCATCTCCAGTGTTCATCAGCCCAACCTTCTCCAGCCCTACCATGTTCTGGCTTGGGGCTTCACGTGTCAAGCTGAATGCGAACCAGCGGTCAAGGGGTCTGCTGATTACTGATCACGAGCCTTCCCAGCACATCATTGGCCCGATGATGCAGGATACGGGGGCGATGATCCACCACGACCTCTTGTAAGCTGTCTTATGAAACCATGAAAGAGCCTCCTTTCTTTCATGACAAACCATAATCGGGCCAGAATAAGCCGCCATCGCATTCACCTACAGGTATATATAGGCAAGCTTACAGGCGCCCTCCCGTCCCAGTGTAGATCATCAGCCTCACCCTCCAGCAAGCCACCCACCATGCTTTCCTTCCTGCGCGCTCAACCACCTCCCCGAATCAACCGGGCCTCCCGAAATCCCATCGTGTATGAAAATGGCCGCTCGTCCGTCTCCTTCTACGCCTCGCACGAGGACTACGTCTTCCGCACGACCCTGCCACCACGCGACAGCGACATCTCCATCATGGAGCCCCCCTTCCACTATCACATCCACCAAACCGAGACCTTCCGCGTCGTCATGGGCAGCATGAATTTGTACAAAGGCGTGGACCCGAAACCCTGGAAACAGCTGACGGCTACCACTACCACCACCGGCGAGGACGCTGGAAACCACCAACCCACCGCGACGATTCCGCCCAAGACATACCACCGCCTGCAGAACGCCTCCGCCACCGAGGAACTCGTCTTCGACGTCAGGCTTTCCCCCGTGGACTACGAGGTCGAGGAGCGCTTCTTTCGCAATTTCTTCGGGTACCTAGACGACTGCAAGATCGCCCAGCAGGCGCCGAGCCTGTTCCAGCTGATGGTGTTCCTGCATGCGGCGGATATCCCGCTCGCGTTGCCGTTGCCGTGGCATGGGTTGGGAGTTATTGTGAGTCGGGTGTTCACGATTGTGGTGGCGGCGTGGGGCAGGTGGGTGCTTGGGTATCAGGTCTCGTATCCTGAGTATTATCAGGGGAAGAAGGGTTCATAAGGAGAGGCCGTGCTTTGTGAAGAGGGGGCTGGGCTGTGTCAGATGCAATGTGTAATTGATGATACTTGTTATTTGCGGGTGGCCTAGCTGGAGTTCTTCTGAATGTGTTTTCCTTTGGGTCTGTGGATATAGTGCTGTGGAGGAGAGGGCTGTCTGAGTCTTGTCACAGAAACTGCTGAGTTCCATAATGCGAGACGAAGGTGCCGCCGTTTCCGTTCTGAACACTAGCTCTGTGCATCACTGAGAGCACGTCTCGCACGGCTGCTTCGGGGGTACTGGGGCCGCGGAAGTGCGGGGCGTACTCGCGAAAAGCCGTGAGCATGCCTGCCAGGCCTCGCATTTGCTCGGGAGTCGCTAGGTAGAATTAGAGCTCCTCGATGGTACGACAATGCACCGGTCGCAGGTTACATACCGTCTGTGAAATGGCCGGTTTTCACCATGCCGGGACAGATGCTCATCAACAACACCCCATGTTTGGCATACTGTGCACTGGACCTGGCCACCGCGGTGTTCAACCCCGCCTTGCTGATGGCATACAGCGACGCGACCTCCACATTATACTTCGGGATAAGGCTCAGATTTGCCAGACCGGTAGAGAGAGCGATGACCTTCTTGGCCTCGCCCTGGAGGATTAGGAGCAGAAACACGTTGAACAGGTGGATGTTACCCAGGACGTTGACTCGAAAGCAGTGTGTGAGGTCTTCTTCCAGCGCTTGGGGTTGCTCGCCCCTAGGAGAACAAAAACATGTCAGGTGTCTCCAGTCATGCAGGGGCGTTAGAATCTATCTACAGAACACCAATTCCATCATATGCATCGAATTTCGACACGTAGCCTGCATTAGCGATGAGGTAGTCGAGACCTCCACCGGTGATGAGCGCGGTCTGAGCTGATGCTGCCGGGGGATCATTAGCCACACGGTAAGCGTCTCCGTGCTGGAAAATGCGAATCTCCACCTGTAAGCTGTTGTAGTCGGTTATGTCTGCCTGTAAGATGTGCATGTTCAAGGGGGATCCAGCTCTTCCATAACCCTCTTTTCGGTTGCAGGCTTATCGCGAACGAGTCCAATGACCGTATTCTTCGGATCGCTTGATCTCTGGCGGAGAAATTCCCACTGTTATGCACGTTTCAGTATCGTGTCCACAAGGTTGGATACAGTACCCACACTCAGGCCCCGAGAGGCTCCCGTGATCAAGTACGAAGGCATTGAAAAGGATGCGGAGATCGGAATAGATGCGAGTACGGGAAGTAATGAGAGGACCCAGCAAGAGAGGCGAAGATGGGAGCACTTTAGCGGCTGGAATCAATCAGCCGTTGCGTATGTGTCCGGATCTCATGGCTATTATATGCAGATGAATCCATATCGACTCCGAGGGAACGAGTGGTGTAGACAGCAAGCGGCTAGTCGCGAATAGGGGACATTTGAGGAGGGATGTTCAACTTTTCACGAGGGCAGAATGGCAAGTTTTCTTCTGAAGATGACTTTAGTCCTGCGTTACATTGCCAGGCTGTCAGACCGGCCGCCGGAATAACCCTTGGGTAGGGATCGGACAGATGATACTTGCCTTTGGCGGCCAAGAGAGCTGTGGAACAGGCCAGGGTACCTTGAATCCGGCCGCAGGTGGGAGTGACACAAGTTGATATCAGCAAGCTACTCTGTTGCGAATATACATCACGCATTCAGTGCTGATACACCACATCCTTGGCCGTAAGTGGAGAATGGAAACTGGCTGAAAAAGCTATACGGATGAAAGCGGCAGAGCTAAGAGTAAGCAGTGTCATACCGGAGAATATGTATTTTGTGATTCCAAAGAGATGAAGACTCTGTTGTTGCCAGGAGTTTGCGACCTGGCACTGACCATGACATTCCCGAGGATTCCCGAGGCAAGCTGGGCCGATAAGATAAGAGGACTGGCGGTGTGCGACGGCAGGATAATCTAGAAAGCGCAAACACTGCAAACACCACAGACACCGCAAACACCGCAGGGGTGGACGGACCGCATGACATCATCAGATCGATCGGAATGCGACGCGACGATCGGCCGAGTCTAGACCAGCAGGATGTTCATCTCTCTCTCTCTCTCTCTCTCTCTCTTCCTCTCTCTCTCTCTTTCACACCAATCTCGCTGCTGATTTTTAATTCAACAAAAGCAGCGCTCGCTCGTCCTCAATCGCGCCTGCGCGCGCATCATCATCCAGCAGCATGCCTCCGAAGCTGAAGAAACCGAACGGCGGGCCCGTTGTCCTCCTCTGGCACCGAACCGACCTTCGTCTTCACGACGCGCCAGCACTCACCGCCGCATTGGAACTCAAACCATCCATCTTCATCCCCGTCTGGACCTGGGATCCTCACTACGTCTACCGCGCCCGCGTCGGGCCCAACCGCTGGCGATTCCTGCTCGAAAGCCAACAAGATCTCTCTGCCGCCTACACAAAGCTGAACCCGAAGCAGAGACTCTGGCTCGTGCGCGAGGCGCCCCAGACCGTGCTCCCGAAGCTGTGGAGGACCTGGGGGGTGACCCACCTGGTCTTCGAGAAGGACACCGACGCCTATGCTCGGGATCGAGACAACCAAGTGGTGCAGCTGGCGGAGAAGGCGGGCGTGACGGTGGTCATCAAGAGTGGGAGGACACTGTTCGACTCGGACGAGATCGTGCGCGTCAACGACCGCAAGCCAACGATGAGCATCACTCAATTGGAGAAGGCGGCCGAGAAGCTCAATGGCGGGGTGCCAGACCAGCCGCTGGCGGCCCCGACCAGCGTCCCGGATCCGTGGGAGGAGAGTCGCATGGACCTGAGGGAATTGGACCAGGACATCCCTGACACAGAGCCGGATGTGAACTCGGAACACAGAAACAAGAAGTCGGAGACACAGTACCATAATATCATGGGCCCGAAGGGGGACTTCGCGGTGCCCACGCTCGACGAATTGGGCATTGACCCATCGCAGGCGACGACGCCGCATCGCGGGGGCGAGTCAGTGGCTCTCCAAATCCTCAGCGATTGTATTGAGGATGAAGACTACGTCAGTACATTCGAAAAGCCCAAGACTTCCCCCGCCGCGTTCGAGCCTCAGGCTACCACGTTGCTATCGCCCCATCTCCATTTTGGAACCTTGTCCGTCCGAAAGTTCTGGTGGGATGTCGACGCCGTGCTTCAGAAGAGAAAGAGTGAGAAAAAGCCCGTCGCACATATCCCGACCAACCTGCCGGGCCAACTCCTGTTCCGGGACATGTATTTTGCGGCCCAGGCAGCCCTGGGGTACGCCTATGCGCAGACCCAGGGGAACAAGATTGCCCGCTTCGTCCCTTGGCATCTGCAGTCTAACTACTCCCAAGTCCCGCGAGGCGAGCATCTGCTGGATGGAACATACACGATCGACAACCCCGAGGCAGAAACCTATTTTCGACGGTGGAAGCACGGGCGCACCGGATTCCCGTGGATCGATGCATTGATGCGGCAGCTGAAGCAGGAAGGCTGGATCCACCATCTCGGACGCCACAGTGTCGCGTGCTTCTTGACCCGCGGGGGCTGCTACGTGAGCTGGGAACGCGGCGCGGAGGTCTTTGAGGAGTGGCTGGTTGATCGTGAGTTTTTTTCCTCTATGCATGCTAGCAAAACATACAAGATTCACTAATGAATCGCAGACGAAACCGCCTCGAACGTCGGGAACTGGATGTGGCTCTCCTGCACCGCATTCTTCTCCCAGTACTACCGCTGCTACTCCCCAATCGCCTTCGGCAAGAAATGGGACCCGGAAGGGCGGTTTGTGCGGCGCTACTGTCCCGAGCTGGCGCACTTCGACAAGAAGTACATCTACGAGCCGTGGAGGGCGCCCATCGCCGACCAGAAGAAATGGAAATGCCGGATCACCGGCGACGGGTCGAGCGATCGAGACGAGGCAAGCGGGCTGCAGACCTATCCGAAGCCGATGTTCGACTTCAACGAGCGGAGGGACTTCTGCATTGCTCAGATCAAGCATGCATACGAGATGAACCTCTACGGGAATGATCCCAAGGTTATGGATGGGTCGTGGAAAGAGCTGTTTGACTTCCATGATGAAGGAGGGAAGGTGGTGGATGAGACGACGGGTCAAGAGGCGAAGAGTTTAACGGATCACACTCGGAAGCGGTCTGGTGGTGATGGGGTGGTCGATGGAGAAGACGGGGCTCCTTCCGATGAGGTTAAAGATGAAGAGCCCAGCCCGAAGAGAAAGAAGGGATAGAGTTCGCATGATGTGAAACCAACTGATTGCCAGTGGTATATAAATGTCGATATATATAGTGATACACAGTAATGATATAATACAGCCATGTTTACAAAACAGCCGCCACCAGAGCCGCTACAGCAGCACCGCCAAAGATCAGCGTGGCATCGTTCGAAATAACTGCACCGGCTCCAGTGCTGGTAGTCGTCGAGGCAGCGGACGCTGCGGAAGTCGCAGTGGTGCTGTTAGCATCAGCACTCGCAGACTTGTCGCTGGCCGATGCGGTCGTGGCGGTGGTCGAAGCTTCGGTACCGGTACTGGTAGCCGTGATCGAAGCTGTGGCCGACGCAGTGCCGGAAGCAGTGATGCTGCCCGCCCCCGCGGTGATAGTCACCGGCATGAAGCCACTGGCAATGTCGTCGGTGTCCAGGGGGATGGTGCTGGTTCCCGGGAAGTTGGCGCCCGTCCCTGAAGCCATTTCAACGCAGGAACCCGTCGTAGTTCCTTGCAGAGAACACCCAACCGACCAGTAGAAGTCCTCGTCAGGCTCCTCCATTAGATAGGAGGTGGTTTGCGGGCCCGCGATCACGGTCAATCCGGGCCCCATGCCGCAGTCGGAGCTGTCGGTTCCCGGAGGACAGTTGATGTAGTAGGTGGTTGCTGTTGCGGCCTGTCACGTAAGTTAGCTGATGCTGCAAGTCTACTAGAACAAGCACCCGAGGCACATACAACGCCCATGACAGATGCCACCAAGGGTTGAGGATCGGCATCGTAGATGAACATGGAGGTGACGGTGGTTTGCGCGGAGACCAGGCGGGCGGCGGCAGCCAGCCCCAGAAGCAGCTTGGCGTTCATCTTGTGGGAGGGAGAAGAAAGGCAGGAACAATGGCAGTATCCATGCTGTGATCCTCCGGGAGATTTTACATGGGTTTTAAAAAGAAACAGTGGCAAAAGCTGGAACAAAAAGAAGGGGGGGGGGAGGCGCCGGCGGCCTGGAAAGTCCAAACTTACCCCTGCTTGGCAAACCCTGTTCCATGAAGGGGCTAGTCTCTGGACTGAGGACCCTAGTTTGGTCTAGCTCGGTCTGCAAGGCCCTGAGGCTAGTCTCGATTAGGGGCTGGGTTGTCGTTCGGGTGATTTCCTTTCGGCTATAGCCGACTGGTCCTGCCGAGTGCAAATCGCACTCAACAAGCTCATGGATCTAAGACAACTCAATGGAATCAATGGGATTGTTGTGGCGTTGTTGTGGCATAGAACCTGACTTGATGGTAATGTGGGGAACGGACGTACTCATATAAAGTCAGAAGACTGATATGCTGTCATCTCCGACCGAATTGCACTACCAGTAGGCACATGAGTATTCGCCTCCCGCATCATCCTCCACAATCCTTACGAGAAATCTGTCTCGAGTCTGAAACACGAAATTCGACCAACATTAGAGATGGTGGACTATCTGCGTCAGTCAGACAGGCACTGGTCAGCCATTGAACAGCCAATACATTATTGAATGTAACGCTCTCAGACGTTAGTTACCCCATGTGCTCCTGTGTCTCCTGCAGCGGGCCGAGGAAGAGGAATTCCTGTCAGTCCTGTCCTTCCAAGTTTCGAGATTGCTGTGGACTTTGGACCAATGGTACAGTCCCGTGAATGCATGTCAGATGGGGCTTGACTCCATGCAGCCAGTAGCCCCCTTCGCTACCTAGTAACCCCCGCTAACCCCTCGCTAAAAGGGAAACTATCGGAAATGTTGCCTCGCGCGGGGCCCACGGCGCCTACGCTTATCAAGTTGGCAACCGCTGATTCGCAGACGGCGAAGGCACCAGCAGGTGGCTCCTGGGTACCTAGTCTGCCTCATTTGACTCATTGCCAATCTGGTCAAGGGAAGCCCGGCGTGAGGGTGAGCTCTGCCCCCTCCTTTCTCCATACATAAGGCGGGTGGCGCTCCTGGAGCGTTTTTGAAAGGGTTGTTCCCCGGTGATATTCTGCTGATCCTCCACCCCTCATCATCGGCAGACCTGATTATCTCCCCTCCAAAGCTCCACTTTGATAACATGCGCGCCACTTTCCTCCTCGCCGCAGCCCTGTCGGTGCTGACGGCCAGCGCCGACGACAAGACCACTACGGTGGGCATCTACAACCCGGACTGGGATGTCACCGTCCCCAAGTACGGCGGATGGACCAGCACGGCGGCCAGTGTCGCGGGGGTCAACGCCAAGGCCACCACCTACCACCTGGGCTGTCTCAAGGACGCCCCCAAGACCGACTGTGACATCAAGCACTCGTGGACCATCATCCAGGGTCCCTCGACGGTGAGCGTGTCGGGCGAATACATCGCGTCGACCTCCGGCAAGAGCACGAGCTACGACTACACCGTGACCCAAACGTACGAATGTTCCCTCAAGTCCTGGAGCGAGTCGGCCAGCTGCACGATGAGCGTGGCCATCACCGGCACTTTCGACGGCGGATCGTACGCGTCTTCCACCTCCACCCATTCCACCTACGGCCCGACCAAGACCTTCGCCGAGCTGGTGGTCACGGGCGGGCTCAAGTCGCTGACGGAGCCTGCCGCCACCAAGACGGCTGATGCGGCGAACGGCAATGGGGCAGTGGGCGCGATGATTACTGCTGCTCCTGTGGTCGCGGCTGCGGCGGTGGCTGCCTTGCTGTAGGAGAAAGGATGGGGTTGAGGGTGTTTTGTTGGCTCTGTGCTTTGGATGTAACCATGTTAGTGAATTGATGAAATGAGTCTGGGACTGAGGAAAACAGAACCACCCGGGCATCTAGCCTCGTAATATGTGATGCAACTATACCCCGCTTTCTTTGCTTGCGTTTGCGTGGTTTGTTGATCTCCTCCCAGACCATGTAGAAGATATCTCGGGTGGGGTGGAGGAAGGAATCTAAGTGAATGATAACATCTCAGTGCAGGTGGGGGTGGTGTGTATGTGTTGTTTGCATCCTTGGTGGTACTTACGTTGCCTGGTTGCCTGCCTGCCTGCCTGCCTGCCTGCCTAAGGTAAAAGACATGAATACGTGAATACGGCAATACGGCAATACGGCAATACGGTAAAACTCGTCCGATCCTCATCAACAACCCCAGCCCCCACACCCCCAGACTTCTCTTCTGCCACACTTCTCCATCAAACCACCCCATTCTTGACATTCATATCCTCATTGATAATACCGCCAACAAGTGAAAACAACATGGCTCGTCCCTCGTGGCAATTTGAAGGACTGCGCCCAGAGAAGCGATTACTACGCCGGCAACCAACTACCCAGTCAGACATCTCAACCCCGGCCTGTCATACGAGATCTACTCTGCACCATAGCTGGATGTGGAGGTCGGGAATGTAGGGCAAGTGATTGAGTACTATGATAGCCCGGCCCGTCACAGACAATCTCCCCCCCCTCTCTCTTCAAGTGTTGATCTTTTGTTTAATTTCATTTATGGTCAGACTGTGCATGGAACCATTCGATATAACGCGCACTGCTAGTTAAGAGCTTGACGTTGATACTTAGGCAATGAATGCATTTGGATCACGACCTCGATCCTTCAGTACGACCCAGTTAAGCCCGGCCACCACCGATATTGAATCAGAAGCCATCGTATGCCCCGCTCCCTTTTTCCCCTATGTAATGGTAATGGTAGCTCGTCCATAGTGGTGACATCTTCTGTCGGAGCATATGATGATGGGCTAGCCATACTGAACCCCGTCACCCCCCAACAGCCCTCCGTCGCAACCAACATGGCCAGCCATACGGCACCGCCGTAAAATGGGTCTCGAACCGCCACGGCGCATCCGAGTTGACCTGCTCAATCTCAAAATCCCGGATGAGACAGGCCGCGACCTTGGAAATCTCGAAGTGCGCGAGGTTGCGACCGGGGCATTGGTTGTACCCTGCGCTCCACTGCCCGGACGATGCATGTCAGCAATACAAGCACGTTCTTCACAACTTTTTTAAACAAATAGTCCGGGGAGCAGAGAAACACTCACGTGGATCAAAAACGGATCCATCTGTTTCGCTCGATCCACATCGAGCCACCGTTCGGGGTTAAATTCATCACAGTCCGGGCCGAAGAATTCGGCGTTGCGGTGGTACACCCACGGGTTGATGCTTAAGACGGTCTATACAGTCTCTGCCATTAGCCTCTCCGGTTTGCAAAGGGTATAGTGGACTGCACACACCCCCTCACTGAAATGCCTGTCCGCAATGGTGATTCCACCCACAGGCACAACACGCGGAAGTCCAGTCCCGGTGGCTGGATGGTAGCGATATGTTTCCCGAATCTGGATCGCGATGGTCAGAATCCTACATATTTACGCCCACTTACAGGACTCATACTTACGCAAGCCTGGAGATAAGGCAGCTTGGTAGCCTCCGCGTACGAGACGATGGGACTCAGCTCGCCGCGCGCCTGCGCCTCGTCGAGCTCCTGGCGCAATTTGGCCAAGTACTGCGGATGACGGATCAAGTGGTAGACAAACGCCTGCAGGGTGGCACTGGTGGTATCGGCGCCGGCGCCGATATTAGCTACGCAGGCGCCCATGATCTCCGACTCGGCCATGCGTTCCGGGTGCTGCTGGCGAGTGGTCAGCCACCGCTCCATCATGTCGAGGCGTGGAGGAGCCGTGGAGATTGGCGTAGTAGCAGGAGTCTTCGCCTGGCTCTGGCGTTGTCGGTGGTCGATGGCCGCCAGACAGGTGTCGAAAATGTGGGAGGTGGGCTGCAGGCCCAGACGGCTAAGCAGCGGGTTGCCTAGCGTGAGGTTGTGCAGCCAGACGTAATGGCCCATGACGGCGATGTAGAGGGCCAGCGCGCGGCTGTTGGCGATGGCGTGGCGGATGTCGGTGCCCGTCGCCAGGAAGTCGAACGGACTGGAGAAGGTCACCTCGCCGACCACGTCGAAGGCAAAGTAGTTGAACCATCGGTCGAACTCGACAGGCTGCCCGGAGGCGATCAACCGGTCCAACTGCTCTTCCAGCCGAACGAGGAGAGCGTCCACCTGTGGCTCGGATTTGATGATGTTGGACAACGCGTAGCCTGCTGCTATGTTCCGCGACTTGTGGATGTGGCGCTGGGGGCTCAACTCGGACATCTGGTTCACGTAGTGATAGTCGGGGAGACTGAAGATGGAATACCAGGAGCCCTAAGTGTTTTTAAGCCGGGTTATGGGATGCAAGGCGCGCAATCATGGGCCTCATGCGATGTAGGTTGGTCGTACCTTGGCAAGATTTGCTTGGAGCAGTAACCGTATGGCATCTGGGTGACAGACGCTAACTTCGTTCTCGGAAATGCGGACGAAGTGACCTGTGCGCAGGTCAGATTCATCTCTGCGTGGCAGATACGGGAGGTGAAATCTACCATGTTTGCGATGTAATCGAATCATTTCCTGCTCGGTGTGGCCCTTGATAAGCTGAAAGACCTGCCAAAGGCTGGACACGGAAGCTAGCCATGGCCCTGGGATGTCCCTCAGTGAAGTAAAATACCGCCGTTTGACAGCCAGGAGGACAAAACTGGTCAGGACGATGCTCGCCGAAGTGGAAAATGAGGCTAGCAGGTTGGCATGCAACCAGGACAGCAAGTCCGACGGCTGCATTCTGAGGTCTCTGATCCTGCGATCCGTTCTGTGCAGAATACAGGCAGGCCACGGTCGGTGGATTGCAAATGCTGGGAAATATAAGGGTGGATGCAAGCGCTGGCAGCGGCTGGTCGATGCTCACCCGACCCGCTCATCGGTGGGGTTTGAGGCCGGCATCTCCAATCGGTGGTTTGGGGCGGGGACACTAACAAGAAGGCTAATGCCGCCCATCAACCCATGACTGGTGGAGCAAGTGAGCTAAACAAGAGCTAAGCTTGGCCAAGCTGTAAGCGAGATAAGGTGCAGTGGGGAGCAGTCGGTAGCCGAGAGAGATTGACTTCCTCCAATTTTTGCGATGAAGTATATGAAGTGAACCTCACTTTGTCCTCAACAGAAGAAGACGTGGAGGTGAGAGTGAGAGGACCGTGGCCTCAGGCTGCTCGTCTGACTACGAAACACTCACCTGTTATTTCTATCTCTCCTTAACCACTACTACTCTCTCGAACACCCCTCGACTCAGAGCCTAGCTATTCAACACGACTGAATTGTCATATCGTGACGGAGACTTGGATTCTACGTCCTCACCAGGAGCATCGGTTGAGAGGGGGCTAGGGGGTGCTGCTCTTGCAACCCTGCCCAACTCATTTTCCTACCTACCGTGGTTGTTGCGTTTCTAATATCACAGTCCTTCTCAATGCCAAGGTAATCCTTGCTATCTTCCAGTTGCGCTCTGTTCACAACACTTTGGCGGATTTCTTTGCTGCTGTGATTTGTCAACATAACGACCAACATATCAGCTAGCCTGGCAACTCGAGGGAGGAAGGTTGAAGATGAAATGAATACAATGAAGCAATCAAGCTTTCCCATCAGGATACTGTAGTTTTCGCGCAGCAATGCAGTTGAAGAAAACATGGAAGGTTGTCAGCACTGAGTAAATCGTCGTTGGTAACGGAGCACGTGACGGGAAACAAACCTTCCCCGCACCAGTTCATGCTGGCAGACATCAGTGAAGTCTTTTCGCCTGAACGTGAGATTCCTACAATTTCAGTAAAGTCTACAGAGACAGGTACCCTGCCTACCATATCCTACACAGATTGACACCCGAAGAAACCCATTTTTGCATTACTAAAATGTACATTACCCCCCCAATAAACATGGCAGCCATCTGACCACCGGGCATCACACAAAAGAAAAGGTCTAATTGCACTTCCCCATCAGCCCGACCGTGCCGACTATCAAGCAAAATGCGGCGCATTGATGAACAACCCCATCAGACACCCACCCAGCGTCCCCGCAATGGGCAAGGTCAAGATCCACGCGGTCAACAACAGTCCCACCCGCTGCCAGTTCACCGCGCGCCATGTGCCGTTACACAGTCCGACGCCGACGGTGGCACCTGTGATGCACATCGAGGTCGAGACGGGCAGGGAGTACTGTGAGAAGACGAGAACGGTCAGAGCGGCGCCGAGTTCCATCGAGCAGCCGCGGCTGGGGGAGTGGTAGGTGATTTTGTTGCCCATGACTGTTACCCATTCCATTAGTACACGCTCGTGGGAGAAGGGATGCACTAGTAAAGAGATGAAACTTACCCTTCATGATGTTGTACCCGTAGGTGATCAAGCCAATGGAGATACACGCCGACAGCACCGCCAGCTGCCACACCGGAACTGGAGCCTTGGCTTTGGCGGCACTACCAGTGCTCCAGGCAGAGTAGATGACGGCCCAGGGTCCAACGGAGTTACCGATGTCGTTGGCACCGTGGGCGAAACTGGCCGTGCAGGCCGTCAGGACCTGGACGAAGGAGTAGGTGTGCTCGACCTCGTTGGGATACTTGGTCGCGTGCGCGTAGACTCGTTGCATGCGGTCGCCCTCGGGAGTGCCGTTGATCCCACTCTGGGCGGCGTGGATGTCGTAGTGCATGCCGTACAGCAGTCCACAGACGATCATGGCGGGGATGCGCTTGGCGAGAATGGCCATGTTGCGGAACTCGTAGAGCTGACCGGGACCCATCGGGTTGTCGCGGAGGGTGCGCATCGCCCAGCCCAGTGGGCCGCGTTTCTGCAGCAGGCGGGCGCGGAGACGGCGGTCGGACTGGGCCATGAGCTCCTTGTAGGTGAGTTGCTGGGCTTCCGAGGCGACGAGCTCCTTCTCGCCGCTGGTGGAGGCCTTGTGGACGGCGTCCACGTCGGCGTCGGCGCCCTTGAGGGTCTCGGGCGAGCCGGGCGGGGAGGGGAACTCATCCTCTTGGATGACGGCGTAGTTAGGGACCTTGGCGGACTCAACGTTGGGGTTGGCGGGTCGCTGCAGCAGCAGAGGTCCGTAGACGAACATCCACCACTTGACGTTGGGGTCCTTCTTGATGACACGGGCGTGAACGAAGGGAAGGAAGAAGATAGCCGACAGCACTGCGACCCCGGCGCCGGTGCCCATGGTCACGGCCGCGATGTACCATCCAGGCTTCTTGCTCAGACCCAGACTGGGAGAACCCTTGTAGACGATGGAGAGAGTGCAGACGGTGGCGGCAATCAGGAACCAAAGGGGAGAGGTGTAGACCGACCAGGGGACAGGGTTCTTGCGCATGTGCACGACCACCTTGATGAGCATGAAGATGATGGAGCCAAAGCAACCGGAGATGATGGGAGCCATGCCCAGACCCGCCAGGATGGCGCCCATCCCCTTGCCGTCGTTCCATCCCCATTGTACCTGGGAGGCGCCGACCGTGGCGACACCGACACCAGCGACCGCGGAGATGAGCGAGTAGGTGGAGGAGACGTGGGCGGAGTGTCGCGTGCACCACATCACCCAAGAGGAGGCAGCGGCCAGGGCGCAGGTGAAAGCCAGCATCTGCACCCCCGCGTTTCCCTGGAAGGCGGAGTTGGGGATGATTCCGTTCTTGATGGTATCGGCGGTACGGGCTCCGACACAGATGGCGCCCAGCATCTCAAAGACGGTTCCGAAGATCATGGCTTGACGGTAGGAGACGGAGCGGGAGGAGACACTCGTGGCCCAGGAGTTCGCAACATCGTCTGCAGGGTAAGAACGAGCGGGGTCAGAGATAGAAACCATAGCACGGAGAGGATTTCCGGCAACTTACTGGCACCGTTGTTGTAGGCATCCAGCATGGCAAACAGAGTGCCGATGGCAAAGATGTAGTCATATTGATGCAGCGTCATCGTGGCTGGAGAAGCTGGGATGATGTCGCGTGAGGGGATGGCGGCTGCTGCAGGAGAGGAGGAGGCGTGAAGAGAGGAAGGAAAGAAGTAGGAGGGAGAAGGGAAGGAGAGGTGAGTCTTATGTAGCCATGGCTGAAATGGCTGACTGGCTGACTGAGAGGCCAGGCTGAAGATGGGCTTACTAGGATGAATGTTGGTGGTGGTGGTGGTGGTGGTGGTTGATGAATAGTGTAGACTACGTACAGTATGGGACAGTGGCATCTGACAGTGGCGTGTGTTTGACCAGTTGAACCAGTTGAACCAGCATCTTCCCTTCCGCACGTTCCTGGCCGGCCAACGCTGATTCGAGCAGGAGATTAAGCTGCGGTCGAGGGTTGCTTCATCCACGGTTCAACCCCCCAGAGTCTCTTGGCACGGGGCTTGGCGGTGTCCGGAGGCTGGCTTGGCAGCTCTTGGCGCCCAGCGGAGCATTTGGGCCAATCACAGCCCGAGCATGGTCCACGTGGGGTCGATTCAAATCCGGGGAGAAGCCAATCATCAATGCGGTTGTCTCCATGTTCGAGTCCTCAGGTAGTATACGGCTTATCGCTTCGTATCACAACCAGGATCCCTCCTGCTGTGCCCGTGCTTGCTCACCACGGTACCTCACCACCACCACCACCACCTCCTCCTCCTCCTCCTCCACAATTCCCAGTAGGAACTCATCTCGGCTAGACTCCCCTTTCAGGCAGCGCATAGTGCAGAATCTCGACCTGAGCACGTGAGGTGGGGTCCCCCTTTCCCACGTGCATGTCCTCTGTCCAATCTGACTGGTCTTCGGCGGTTGCCTCCTGGTGAGACGTTCATGCATCACGATGGAGCTGAGTTCCGGGCGTGGCGACGACCGATCTGGATCAGGAGTTCATCTGCATCACGGCGTCTGCCGAGAAACGGACCATGCAATCATCACTGGCAGTCCGTCCACTCCCATTCTTGCCATCGTGCGTTCGGCCGTCGCTGCTCCGCGTGGGCGACTCACCTCCTGCCTTGCCATGCAGGTGCTGTTGCCCTACGCGAGTGGCAAGACGCCCATCCACAGCTCGGGGGAAACCACCTCCCAGGTTAGCGGCATCCTGCACGGTTGCCTCCTTCCAGACTGGTCTGATACCCCCTGGGTGTGGCCACGGTGAAAAGATGGTCTCAATGCTCACATGCCTCAGCAACATGAGACATAGGGTGGCAGCTGTGGGGGGCGTAGCTCCTCACCCACCACAATTACCTTCTGCCACTCCCGCCAGTGGCAAGCTCTCGCATACCGGATGAAACCTTCGATGATTGAGTCCACGGACAGTGGACATCCTGCCTTGAACGGTTAGTCTTGTTGCCTTAGGGCCGGCGTTCCCGCCTCGCTTGTGCAGCCTTGCCTTGCCTCTGGCGACAGACGGAAAGTTCTTGAAGCTCAATCCTCTCAGCGATCGGTTCACTTCCATCTCTTAGTCCGTCTCTGGTAGCCATGGAGATGGGTAGGACTGTCTACTTGGTGGAAGTTCGAGCAATGAGTCTGCATCCAACCAGTAAGTATATGACTTTCCTACCACACAACAAGGCGGTATGCTGATTCCCCTGGCCATCGACTGTCACAGAATCCCGGCTGCCTTCCCATTGTACCACATCACCACGATAACACATCAGAGAGAAAATTGGAGATTCGAGCCAAGGATTCTAATCCAAGCCAGTAAGTTTGGCACTGCCTCCGACGCAACAAGACGGTGTGTTAACGTACCTGGTCATCTACCGCACAGATCCCCTCCTATCCTCTCCCCACATTCCGCTTCATCAACCCACCAAGACAGTACAGCAGACACAGACACAGTCACAGCGACGAAGATCTATTACTATTATAAGTCTATCGAGAACACCGCATATGTACACATCCACTCCGCCCCTTCCCACCTCCGGCAGACCCCTTAGTTCACGGGGATGTTGCGCTCCAGATACCCGCTCCAGGTGGGCAGGCTACGCTTCCAGGGAGTCTGCGAGGACAGCTGCAGATCCTCGATGGCACTGGCGTACTTGATGAGGGTCGCCTCGGAGAAGGCAGTACCGAACAAGGCCAATCCATAGGGCATGTGCGAGTCCCCGTTGATACCGGCAGGCAGGGTGACCACGGGATAACCCGCCTGGGCGGCGATCTCGACGGAGGGGGCAAAGTCCGGCGGGGCCAGGAGAGCGGTGATGTTGCGGCCCTGGTAGCGCAGCGCCGCATCAATGCCCTCCTCGCGACTGGTGCGTTGACAGTACGCCAGCGCCTGCCAGTAGGTCTCGTTCATCACACCCTTGGTCGCCAGCGACGCCAGGAAGCCATCCTGTCCGGAGGCAAAGGCCGGGTTCACCCCGGGCAGGCCACCCTCGCTACCGGCGTTATCGATGTTGTACTGGACGATGTCCTCCAGCGAGCGGATGTTGGTGTTGTTCAGCTCGGCGAGATAATCCTTGATGTTGTTGTAGAAGTCGACCTTGACGTAGGAGTACTCGGACTGGTTGGGGTAGCCCCGGGAGGTGCCGTAGTCCCAGTTCCAGCCCTCGGGGTCAACGATCTCCTTGTAATGGGGGAGCTCGGTGCCGTTGATGATGGTCGCACCCGCCGACTCGATCAGCGCCAGCAGCTCCATCAGCTGGGCATTCTGGGCGGCGTCGTTGTACTGCCAGAACGACATCCACGGCAGACCGAACACGGCGCCCTTCAGGGCCGACTTGTCCGTCAGGAACTGGGCGTACCCGCCGGTGGGGGTCTTGCCCTTTTGCGCGGCGGTCTGGTTGTCGCGGGGATCGACGCCGTAGATGGCGTCCAGGGCGTAGGTGGCGTCGCGCACGGTCTTGCCGAAGGTGCCGACCGTGTCCTGGTGCAGGGACTCGGGGATCACGCCCGCACGCGAGGTGAGGCCGACGGTGGGCTTGATGCCGACGATGTTGTTGCGCTCCGCCGGGTTGATGACTGCACTCTGTTAGCGACCAACCCTAGGATGGGTGTGATGCCCAACATACCACTGCCATCAGTCTCCGTACCCAGCGCGAAAGGCACCTGGTTGGTGGAGATGGACACGCCGGAGCCAGAACTGCTACCACCAGGATTGACGGTGAAGTTATACGCGTTGCGGCACTGGCCACCACGGCCCGAGTACCCCTCGGAGTAGTCGTTGGAGCGCATGTCCGCCCACTCACTGAGCGTCGCCTTACCCAGCAGGACAGCCCCAGCCTCGCGCAGACGGTGCACGACGTGCGAGTCACGGGGCACGACGGAGCCCACGAGGGCCCAACTACCGGCGGTGGTCTCCATCTTGTCCTTACTGGCGATGTTGTCCTTGACCAAGAAGGGGATTCCGTGCAAGGGGCTGCGCACTGTGCCCGCCTCCCGCTCCGCGTCCAGCGCCTCGGCGATGCTCACCGCATCGGGGTTCAGCTGCATAACCGCACTGCACATCGACCACCCTTTAGCCCTGTTCTATCCCTGCCATGCTTTGATTGATTGCTGGAAAACACTCACTTGACATAAGGCTGAACCTGGTAGATGCGCTCGAGATAACACTGGAGCAGCTGCACCCCCGTGAAATTCTTGGCCTCCAGCTCGGCCTGGATCTCGTCGATGCTGGCCTCCTCGAGCTTGAAGCCATGGCAGAGACGCATGGGGAAGAGATCGGAGCCATTGGTGCCCAGCTTGGGGAAGTCATAGGGGTAGGGCTGCAGATCCAGCTGCTGGGTGACCAGGCTGTCGTTCTGCGCCGACGAGGCGGCGGCCACCACGGCCAAGCCGACGGCCAGGAGTCGCGACGCGATGGAAGGCATTCCCGGGGAGATGACGTGGGAGGGAAACAGTGAAGATCAAAGAAACCGAACGAGAAAGGTCGGATTATGAGTAAATCGTCGATTGATGGGGCTTGGGCCGAAACGGCGACCGACGATCGGGGGGATCGGGGAGATCGGGGGGGATACGATACAGCGATACCGCTGGATGCAAGGGGCAAGTCTCGAGAGCAGGAAACCAATTCCCTGGTCGGGTACAATTAATCATTTATACTTTGTCGACATGAGACAATTAATCTCGTTCAAGTATCGACAAGGAGACTAGCCGATGAGGCCACCGCGGACGGACACCGGGTGGAGCATCGGCCGAAGCTTGATCAAGCTGGCTGTCGAGACGCCGGCGGATCTTCGGCACCGTCAGAAGTACGAGTAGGTCAGGATGCAGGAGGGAGTCGAATTGAATGGGCAGGACTAACTAACTGTGTCGGTTGGCTCCGAATTGCCGTAATATGCAGTCTATCTTCTCGAAGCCCGCCCGAAGCTTCTCCCCCCTGAGAAGATGCAAGAATGATCATTAATTAATTAAATCAACGGTTTCCCTGTAGCCGAGGAGATCCGAAAGAGTAATTTCCACGTAATCTGAGTTCTGACTCCCCAGCGGTAAGCTCCACTGCGGCCCAGTTCACAGAAGAAAGGGAAAACCGTTCCATGGATTCCCCTCGTCCGTGTCCTGCCAGGCTGCTCGTTTATCGCGTTTAAGGTAATCGATCGCTTGTTGCGCTCCCGGGCACGTCATCAAGACAGAAAATGCGCCATAAAAAAAAAAAAAAAGAAAAAGAAAATCATGCGACCGAGAGAAGAGATTTTTTTTAATTGTTAAGAACAACGACCAAGACTGTGAAGAACCCACGAACCTGGTCGGATGGTTCGGTCGGCTGTTTTCCCACATGGCAGGATCGGCTAGTGAGAGAACTAACCAGCACTAACACATAGTGTGCTGCTCGCCTAACCTATAGCCCTAGGCTAATGCACTTTTATCGTTCCCAGGATGCAAAACAAACTGGACTAGACTGCCTAGTTCGCCTCCGGGTGGACTCGTCCATCAGACCATGGTTCGCATCCGCATTCCTCCTAGTTCAGGGAGAACAACACAAGGTGCTCATCTCCCCGAAATTCTGGTTCGTCGGAGCATGCAAGATCTGGCCCAGTCTCAGTCTGCCCATTACTTCTTCACTTCGTCTTTTCTCTCTCCCGTCCCCATCCTGACTCAAAAAAACGACTCCATCCCCGTAACTCCGGTGGTCCCTGGCAAGCCTGCCTGCAGCAACATGGCCAACATCCCTGCTGCCATTGAAGCGGCCGATGCTGCGGGTCGCATCCCCGCGGGGATCAGCCTGGAATACCTCGCCCAGTCGCGCGATCGCCCGGCCAAGATCGCCATCATCTTCGTCTGCGCCTTGACCACGCTCGTGGTCATCGCGAGATGCTACGCCCGCATCTTCTTTCTGAAGCGATTTGGCATGGACGACTCCCTGGCCGTCTTCACCCTGGTAATTCTCTCTGCGGTTACGGGTAGGGAAAGCCTACACTGACTGACTGCTGGCAGCTGCTGTACATCACCGTGGTCGTGCTGTCCATGGTCCTCATTGATCTGGGCAGCGGCCGTCATATCGAGTACATCGAGTACGTCCTCTCCTTGGCCAAGGTCAAGGAGACAGAAGTCCTGGACTTCGTCATGCACATCTTGTATACGACCGCGCTGTTCATCTGCCGCTTGTCCGGTCTGGCCTTCTACCATCGGTTGGCAGCGCGACACGACAAACTGTCCCTGGCCATCAAGCTTGCCTCCATCTTCCTCGTGCTCGCCTTCCTCACCCAGTTCTTCCTGCTGCTCTTCCACTGCTTACCGGTCACGGGGCTCTGGCCGTATGAATGGCAAGCCGGGGCGAGCAAGTTCAAATGTCTGAGCTGGGGCGACGTCTACTCGGTCAATTCGGGGCTATCCTTAGTCTGCGATCTGATCATGTTGGTTCTGCCGTCCATGTTGATCTACATGCTGCATGTGTCGCGGCAACGGAAGTTCCAGCTGTCACTGATCATGTTCCCGGGTGTTCTGTGAGTCCCCTGCCTAACAATGACTTTTTTTTTACCCCCCATTCCCAAGCTGACCAGATCATTCCGGCAGAGTCCTTGCCATCTCCTGCGCGCGCATCTACCTGGTGGCGGTGGGCCAATGGTCGTCGGACGGCAGCTGGGCGTACGACCCGATGCTGGCGGTCGAGACCTCCGAGATCGGAAGCACGCTGATTGCCCTCTCCATCCCCGCCCTGAAGTCGCTCTTCGGCTCCTACTTCAACCACCTCAAGGCCTCCTCCTCCGGCGGCGCCACCTCCTCCAACAAGCGATCCAGTCGGTTCCACCGCGGCTACGGCCGGACCTGGGAGGGGCATGTGGAGTTGAATAGCCTGGGCCAGGCAGCGGCCGAGGCGGGGTCGTATCACGTCGACGTGCAGACGGGCAAGGGGGCGATCGCCACCCCGGAGTCGACCTCGCTGGGTGGGCCACGCACGGGGAACGACAGCTCCTCAGAGGACCTGCTGTCGCCGCAGAACGCGAAGCATGCCGGTCGCGCGGCCGGCAAGGGGCAGGTGATCATCCAGGAGACGGTGACGGTGATCGAGAGCGGGAAAGCCAATGCTGGACGGAGCTCCTAGGCTGCATTTGAGGCTTGTCTCACGGATCCATGATGCAAAGCGCATCGCCAAGGACTAGGTGCGGAAGACCACACTTTGTAAGGCGTCCAGCGCGAGAATGAGGTCATTATACGGCCAAGGGGACTGGCGCTCACTCCAGCCTCCCTTCTCATGCCACTCCAGGCAGGGCATACAGACGTTCGACACTATCGAGAATAGCAAGCAGCCATCTCGAAACCAGCAGCACACCAGCCGCCGGAGCAACATCACCCGGCCAGGTCTCGTTTGCTGAGTCGGAACCAGACTTGCGACCGGGTAATTGAATTTGAGTGGGATGGTTGCGGTCGGAACCACCGGCGGGCCTAGACCTCCCATTAACCGTGGTACGTGGTATACATCCGGGCATGGGAGCTTCATCAATTTTCAGCGAGGCAATTCGCAGTCGACAGTCTGGGGCTACCCAATCGCTGCGCAGGCTTTCTGGAGATCGGCTTGCGCCTCAGGCGATATGATATCCTCCAGTCTATGGCCACTTGGTGCAGCCTAGATGTAGATTTTAGGTCTTTTATGGATTTATTCGAGCCATGACGCGTGGTAGCTCGAAACCCGCATGTAAAGTTCCCTCCTTCGTACAGTACATAGTAGTTGACACAAAGAACCCTTTAGATAGAAGCGAGGAAAGAGGGTTAGGAAAGAATGGGGAATACTGGACTCGGGGCTATCCGGTCGGAAGCATCCGTTGTGGCAATGCCGGGTAGGACCGACCTGCCCTTCGCTTGGACATACTTCGACAATACTTCGGCTAGAATACATGAAAAAATTCCACTGGGCTTTGATTGTAGAAATCAAATCAGTAAATTCTGATGTCATTATGATCACTACACATGACTCTCGTAGGACAGTGGTGTAGTACAGATTTCAGCAGACGAATTCAGTCTATGATTTACTCATACATATATTTTGATCCTTACCGAGATTGCCTTTTGCTCAGGGAACATTCATCAAGTTGCTGCTACTATTTTCATGTACATCTATATATACTGAAGCCTTGTACATTCTCCCGTTAGCGCTGGCCCTAATCATTAGCTGACTTCAAGATCAACGAACCAAATAAATAACTTAACAGTGAGTAATAGTACTCTTATTCTCCTAGTTGCAAAAGATGGGCCTGTTCCCACCGGGGCGGGGCGATGCGCAGTTTTCCCAACATGGTTTAGTGCCACCAGCGCTTATCTATTCCGAGGCCTGATCGCGGCATCGACCTTATCATCTTCGGTTTTTCCGCTTCAACACCGGAGGACGGAGTACTTGGTGTACGGAACTGAGTATAGTGCACTACTCACAACGGGCTTAGGTTTGTTTGTTGCGACATATTTTGGAGGAGGGAACGTAGTTTGCTGCACTTGGGTGCCATAGACTAATTTGTCGCGATTGCAACGGTCAGCCTTTCTCCTCTACTACCTCCTAACGCTGGAATTTACGCCGCAAGAATCTTCATAACAGCTGTGAAGGGAGGCCTCCATGTAAAGGGGGAAGAACAAGAAGCTCAATGTTCCTTGGCCGCGACGTCAAAAGAGATGCACCTGTCATGTGACCGTGGCACACGTGACCCCGGGTCCCAGCCTTGCTTAGGCGCCTGGAGCTTCTCTCCTTCCACAACTATCCACATCACATGAAACTTCTTTGTCATGAGCTCTTTGAGGTCGTCTCTTCCTCGCTTCTCTCCCTTACTGTGCAAGAGACTGTTCTCTATACCTTCTCACGGGCCACCTTCACCGCCGGGCATATTGGTTGATGAAGAGATCTCGCCATTCTACAATACGAAGTGCCTCTACCCAGCTAAGCCTGGGGAAGTACTCGCTGATCGCTACCATATTGTCGTCAAAGTCGGCTGGGGCGTGTCTTCAACCGCATGGCTCGCGCTTGATCTACAACGGTAGCAGGCCTTGACTGATAGCTGTTTGATTCGAAGCCCTCTCGGTCTCTGACAAAGCATACAGCCATATAGAAGAGCCGGAGACCATCGTGGCACTGAAGATCGCCAATAACAATGCGCACTATGCCGGTCATGAGCGTGAGGTTGAAGAGCATATTTCCACCGCAGACCCCTCACATCGCGGTCGCTCACTAATCCGCACATTGCTCAACTCCTTTCAAGGCCCGGAAGGATCTCACTCATGTCTTGTGTACCCGCCTCTGAGGGAGCCCCTTTCGAGGTATCAGCAGCACTTCGTTGATGGGAGGATGCCACTGCCCCTTATCAAATCTTACATCCGTACCCTGCTCTCGGGGCTTGATTATCTCCACCAGGAATGCAGGGTAGTCCATACAGGTAGGTTACATTGGTCCTTGTCTTTCATGGGTGATACTGAGCCAAGCCGTCTAGATCTAAAGCTTGAGAACATCATGGTCTCCTCCGAAAAATCCGACCGTGCTCGCTGATTTCATAGAGTCTCAGCTTGCAAGGCCAATGGCGTCCAAGATTGACTCGACAGGACGGCCAGTGTACCAATCCCGCAACGTTTTCGGCCCACTCAAAAGCCTCAAGAGTATTCCCCAGCTTGTCGACTTTGGCCTGGCCACCCGACTGGCGGAAGACGATGACTGGGGCATCTGGCCAATTCAGCCAGACCACTACCGAGCGCCAGAGGTGATCCTGGGTATTGGATGGCAAATGCCTGCCGATATTTGGAATCTGGGTGTTCTGGTACATCTCGCCACACCCCAAGGATGTTTTTACTGTTGCTTTTACTAATACCAGATTCAGTTGTGGGATCTTGTAGAAGGCAGGGAGCTGTTTCAGCAAATCCACGACTAACACGGCCGCTATGATGCAAAACTGCACATCGCGCAAATGATAGCCTTGCTTGGTCCCCCGCCTCCCGAATCCTGCAGAGGTATCAATCCATGCGCGAGTTTTCGTTACCGGGGCCTCTCCGACGAGAAGACGGCAGAGTATGCGAGACCGCGGAAGAGTACTTCTGTGGGCCGTTCTTTGACAATGATGATAGGATTCTTGGATTTGTCAGCTTGGCAAAACAGAGTATTGTCTGACTCGTGATCAATGGACATTTAGGTCGCTTTCTCTACGAAGATCTGATTCCCGACCGGCGTCTCGGCGATACGGTTTCCTTCCTCCAAGGAGAGGAGAGAGAGGCGTTTCTGGATCTCGTCGGGAAAATGCTTCTCTGGAATCATAATTACCGACGACTGGCAGGCGAACTGGCGGGGCATCCTTTTCTTCAACCCCAGAATTGAGCCATCTGTCTGATTGTTCTATCAGAGTTTGCATAAAGGTTCAAAGATAGGAGACATGAATAAAGCAGGAAGAGAACGCAGAAATACAACAGACGTGGTTACTGGATCGATGTGCGTTGCAGAGCGAGACTGATCCCTTTCTTCCACTGCACACGTGCGTGGTGTTTTCAGTGAGTTCCATCTTTGCCTGACTCCGTCCAGTTGAAACCTTCGTTGCGCACATAGGCCAACATCTGAATGGCTTCGTTTTGACCACGAGCTTGGGAGAGGTCCAGCACCTTCGAATTCGGAGCCAATGTCGGGATCTCCGACTCTAGCTGCAAGTCTGGCGCGTCGTATTTCCAGAACTTCATCTTGGTACCAATAGCCGTGGCTGCTAGGAATCTGCGGGAGAGGTTCGCATTGCTGGTCGGCCGACGGCCATCTTAAATCCCTCGCCTGGAGGAAAATAGGTCGCGCAGAGCGCGTTCCAGAGAACAAAGACTGGGGCTTCGCCAGAACTGGGTTTTATTGCGGTCAGAGCACTGTAAATACCGAGGTTCCCGGGGGATGGGGCCCATGAGGCCCCTGCTGGTGGTATGTCCGCCATGGCTGAAATGGTATGGTATGATGGTTTCTTTTTATGAAAACATGCATTGAACAGCAAGAGTCAGAATGCTGGAGCGACCACGGGGGGAGGCTTGACCTTTATCCTTGCCATGGGGCGTGCACATCTGCTTCCAGTTTGGCTCATATGCAGCCACAAACAACTGCACCCAATGGTTGGGATGGTGGGCGCAGAAAGGCATCTTTGCGCGCGCTAATTCAAGCTATTTTTAGCCCTTGTATGCGTGATAATGATTCAGACGCAAGTTAGCGCCACCATCGCTGACCTTCGATACATATAAGGCTAATATAAATGAAGGGGATCACATGACCTCACTGCACTTCTCTCAGCCTTGCCTTGTCCCTTGTTTCCACCTTCTCTCATCCATCTCTTCATCTCTTCATCCGTTTATCCATCCATCCATCCATCCATCCATAATACTCTATGACTCGAACAATCCCAAATCACTACTGTCCGATATGTGGCATTCTAATTGCCCGTACACTGGTCATGCCTGGCACCGTGCCAACCGATCTGGAATGGTACCAGCAGGTCCGTGTGATTCAGCTTCGCGGTGATACATTAGATGATCAATGGCTAGTCACCCAACTCGCCACTGTGAGCGGCGTAGGATATGTCAATCATTCCAGTCGAATCTATGCCCCCTCGCACCATGATTGCTGTTTCAGCGACGACGGGGTTGGCAGCCTGATGTCATACATCCGATTCCGCGACCCAGCGTCAGGTACCTGGTCATTCGACGTGCATGAATTATGCTGGCAGATTCTACTGCAGAGAGTCCCGGAGGGCCGATCCGACCTCACCAAATTTTCCACTCTTCTTTTCCAGATGCTGTTTTGTACCACATGGGGTAAGCAAAGATACCTTCGTCCTGGTCATGACTTCGGTGGCGCAGCCCAATTTCAAAACCCGATGGGGGTTATGTTTTGCGATATGATCGACCAAGGACTTGATTATCTCTCGGCTTGTCCTTCACAGTTCCGCAATCTGGCAGAGATTCTATCGTGTGCCACTCCGGACACTCAATTCTGCCCTCAACGATCCACACATAGAGCCCGAAGGCCGTCTTCACGCGATGACATATTCTCCCCACTTTCAGTCGAGGTTCTAATTATGATTGTGTCTCTCCTCCCTTCACCCGATATTCAGCACTTGCGATTGGCGTCAAGAAGTCTCGCATCCGCGACTGATCCGTCATCGCTGCCTCAGTCTTTCTGGCGCACCAGGTTTCTGGCAGATGGCGAGATGGGATTTGCTTGGCCCGCTGACTCGACGGGTTATCTCAACTGGCGTGACGCTTACTTTACGCTGAAGCATGTTTTGAGCGATACCTCCGGCTCCAGCTTTGCGCAGGCCAGAAACCGGCGGCGAATATGGAGACTTGCTGGTATCAATGCGGCTCTGCTTTCTCAGTTCTTGGATGGAACCGACCTTTGTGGCGGTATTTGTACCGAGGATGCAGGTCTGTCTCATAGCCCCAATACACTTCCTGAAAATGGGACACACGGCAAAATGCTCAGCGCCCAAGTGTCGGAGGACTCTCACCGGCTACTTTCTGTAGGAAGTCTGAGGCTCCACGATAGGACTGTCATTTTACCTTTGGACGACTTGACTGTCAAGACCATTCGTGTTTATGTGATTGACTTTAACTTGCAGTGTTTCATCTCCGGTCTGGAATTCGAACTTCTGGACCTTTCTACTCAAGCGTATTCCAACATCGCTCTGAGATTTGCGCCACCCAATGCCGGCCATCTAATTCACATTGCCCCGTCCGTTTGTGTCACAGGATTTGAACTGGAAGTCAGTTCGCGAGGCATCACCAATCTAAGAGTGCTCGTTGAAGGAAGCGACCACGGTGCATGTCCGCCGCAGTGGGTGCGAGATCAAGAGACGGACCGGGCCGATCTCGCGTTGGGAAAGCTGGACTTCGGCGCTCCGAAAGCACGACGAATCCGACTGGTCGCTCAGTTTGATGTAAGTCTAACTGCCGCATCGTCCATGTGTCTACTGATTGGTGGCACCCAAGGCATTCAAAATGATCGCCTTGGGATTTACCGAAGCCAGTGACACCGTTTCGGAAGTCGACAACAGTTTCACACTCCAACCAATGTGGACGCCCACCTATCCAAGAGAAGCTGTATCTCTCGTTCCTGAATTGCAGCCAGCATTGCAAGGGTACAACCGTATGCTGAATATTGATTTCGCGGGTGCCAACGGGGAGAAGCTTCCGCAACTGACAAGGATAGTGACCCATATCCTCAATGACTCGGCACCCATTGTAGGATTCACCTTCTATTTCGATGACCGGACCTCTACCCAGTTCGGTCGACAGGGCTTGATGGAAGTATCTTTATTGATTGATGGACCCGGTGGGGAGTATGTCACAGGTGTCACAGTCGCGAAGTCCACCAAGGATAGCCGGATCCTGTTACTTCGGGTACTCGGATCTCTTCATTCGGTATGCCACTGAGACTGACATAAACCAGATGCGCACAAACCTTGGAAAGGAGCTTATCACGGGTTGGGACGAGCTGAGCCGCTCTGAAGTGTCGGACTACCGGCTAACATCGCATTCGTTTGACTCTCACTCGAATCCTCTCATCAAACGTAAGGAAATGACTGTCGAGGCGATGCAAGCGCCCATCGGGCAGCGCATTACTGGATTCATTGCCACCCTTGAAGTAAGCCCAACACTCGAGGAATGACAAAGCTGTCCACTGAGACATATTCAGGCATCAAACAACTCGTTTCGTGCTTTCGGATTACAGTGTCAGAGAACCCCGCCACCGTATGAAACGCGGGTCACGGACGCGGCCTTGCCGTACCCCGTTTCAACTGCCGCACGCTCAGCTTCCCCTCTAGGCTCATATATTATCAGAGAAAGATCCAATTGTTGTAGAGCCTTTACATCTGCGAGCTTAAAATCGGTCAAGTGTATAAGATTCTCGAGCGGAAACCTCGAGCGCCCGCGGCTCGACAATGAAGTTTCCGGATTATGGTTTGAGTACTTCGAATCTCCTCATTCAATCGTCGGTCAGTGGATCTCTGAGTCTGTGTCGGTCACCCTTGAGCCCGGAGAGACGATCACAGGAATCACAATATGGCTGTCGAATGGTTGCAAGGCCTTGAGCCAGGAGTTCTTCATGGGCCGAGTCGTTCGCATCATGATAACTACTCCCCTTCAGACTGTGGTGTATCCGGAGGGACCTCCGCCATCAGCCAAGGAGCATACTATCTTACAGTTTGAAGAAAGCTACCTCGAAGAAATGGTGAGCCCGCTCTCCTGCCTCTGCTTTGCAATCCGTAGTTCTAATTCAAGTTAATGTATACCCCTCACAGTCGTGCCTTGTCTGGGTATTCAACAACGCGTGGGACTTTCCACGAGTAACCCAAAATCTCAAATCACCGAGTCAGAAGATGGTTTTCTGGGACCCGGGCCATACCCTCGAGAAACGGCCCTGGGCGACTCCCCAAAGCGCACTCTGGACGGGAGGTAATGGAACGAATGGCCTGGTCTCCATAGCTGGATATCACGGCTTGAGTAAGGAGGATTATATCACTGGCCTGAGGTTCACATATAAGTCCGGTGCTGTTCAAGATATAGGCGATGTGGCCGCTGGACAGGCCCTTCGCTCTGTGCGACTTTCTCCAGACGAAGATATTCAACGGATGTCTTTGATTAAGAACTGGACGGGCCTCCTGCAAGTTACTGTTAGTGCTACGGCGGCCTGGCGTGGCGTTTCTTTTCCTTTTGCCCATTTCCCACCCGGGAGGATATGGAAACCATACTGACATGGAGGATCAGTTCGGTTGCATGAAACGGAGTGACAAGACCAAGACCCGGCGCGCCGTTATCTCCACGCCGTCCGCGAAGAGGAATTTACCCTCTATGACGGGGAGAACAGATCGTGAGGATGTCGACTTTCTTCAACGCAGCTATACATCGCATTACCGCCGTATAGCGGGAGATGCGCAGAACGGGGAAGGAAGTTTGCCTGAGGGAGAGGTTATTGGGCTGTGGGGGTTCAAAATGCCGGATGACAGGTTGTTTGTTGGGGTCGTGATGTTACAGGGGTCTGGGCCCCGTACTAAAATTACCAGTCGCTCGCGCTTCAAGTGACAGTAAAAGAACGAGGGGCTTCAAGATGGTTTGGCGATAATGATCGGCATACATTGCTTTATTTGAATAATATTTCCGGCTCATCTAGAACGTGTGTTGCACGAGCAGCCCTGTGCAAGTTGTTAAAATGATAGTGTCACAAGTTAAGATTCGAGGAATCGTTTCTAGAGCAGCGAGTGAGTTAAAGGACAAGAGACTTGGAAACCCTAGTGAACCTCGAGACCGAGTTACATGGGTGAGAAAGTAATGAAAACGGAAGCAATAGAGCAAGAGCAAGAAGTAGCTCACCCACACCCTTATATGCCAGCGTCGATCCGTCTATTTGGAAATGTCCGCCATCAAAACACACTTACTAGGGTAGAGCAATCTTTTAGATGCGATGTTCTGATCTCATTGTCCTTCATTCGCTTCTGGATGGCAAGTGGTAGCCAGTGGTACCGTGAGGTTGGCGGCTATAACAGCAGGTATGAGGGTCGAGATACGCGGGATGAACACTTGATGACAGCCACCTATCTCTGCACTATCATGCTCCGACATGCTGCTCAGCGAATATCATTTTGAACACAGGTTCAAGCCCCATTGTGGGTATACAATGCCCAGGACATTGGACTGTCATAATACTGCCGTCTGATTCTAAGTGTTGCATCATGAACCGCCTCTGCTACCGCACGATTCGGATCAACCAGAGTAGTAGCCAGCCGCCTGATCAGCGCCTCATAGAAAAACGCCGCCATGTACACGCAGACCTGATCGTTTGCTGGCCATAGGGAGCCGATGACATGCGGAAAGCCTGCAATCAAGAACCCAGTGGTCACATGTATTCCCTCATCGCGCAGCTTCTCGGCGCGATTCTCCGCGGTGGAACAGGCAGACAAATACGCAATCCAGGCACAAGACGTCGCTTGATCAAGGAGCTGAGAGACGGTTAGCTTGTCCACCACGAAGCCCGAGCCACTCCTTTTCTTCAGAAGCATATGACTCTCAGCCGGGTCCTCGGGATCCGAGTGCCCGTGACAGGCAAAATGTACCAGCTGGCACGTCGATATTTGGGCAAGAATCTCGTCGGCAGAAGGCTCAGCCATATGCTTCACATGCATGGCGTGTCTGACAGTATCGATAATAGCTTTGGCCTCCCGGCGGACCCCATGGAGTGTGCCATGACCCGGGGTATCCGCCATCGTGGCGATCAACAGAGACGGGCTGTCCTTGGGCTGGACGGGTGCCTGGGCCGCCCTTCGCTGAGCGTTACGCCGGGAATTTTGAAGAGTCTTGATCGTTGGGGTATATGAAGATATGACGCGGTCGAGACAATTCTCGTTTGCCGTGTTCTCATCCTGAGGACCGGTGGTGTAGTCCCCGGCGGCGTGGAAGGGGAGTCCACTCGCCGCACCCACGCCAATCCACCAGACTCGGCTTTTGTGACGAGAAGAGATGCTGTTATGCGACGCGAGCAGCTCAAGGATTGGCTTTACACAAGTGTACCAGAGCCATGACAGGAGATCCACATCTTGCGCCTCTGGCGGCAGATCACTCTCTAGATCTCTGGGCCCTGACTTCCAAGTGCACCGCATTCGCAATAACTGATGACGAAACTGCGGTACAGAATGGCTGATCATGCTATCGAGCGGTAAATGTTTGATCCAATCCGGGGTGATCAGAATAGCATCGGATGACATGCAGGTTACGTTCACCACAACAATCGGCCCCTCGCGGGAAGAGTCGATAATATCCGGAAGTGTTACCGGCTGCAGGAAGTTCTCAAAGCCCATCCTCTCACGGATGCGACTCTCGCACTGTTGCAGAAGTTGGAATGCACCACGACGGTTGTTAGTCGGCTGCGGCTCATCCACATGGATATCACGCAAGGCCTTCTCCCGAAGCATGTTATATTCCAGGCCAAGATCCTCATGCACCTTGTGCAAGTTCGACAGGTCTCTTTGAAGGTCAATCAAATCGCCAATCAGAATACCTCGGCTGATCTCAACTTTCAGAAGTGCTTCTGTCAGAGAGCCACTCCGAAGTAATGCGACGCAGGTGTGACCAGCGAGACCGGACAGGCTTTGCAGATTGTAAGTCTTGTCATCATGCTTCAGGTCGCGGCTGCTGATAAGAGGTATCAGCGGAAATATGATTTCTTCTGCGAGTCTTCTAGCCGCTGTCCAGTTTAGGTGGTGTATTGCGTGATGCATGACGCATGAAGCACCTCGTACACGATCTATAGGCAGGGCTTGATTGATCAGATTCATAGCATCGCTGGAAGCTCCGCAGTCCACGACGGTAGGCTGTAGTATCGTTCGTGCGAGAGGCCTTCGCGAGCCAGAGGTTTCCCATTATCAACCGATTTGAGCTCGTATCGTCAACATTCAGACCAAAGAAGGCCTCCATTGAGTCGATTGCTTTGTCAAGGTCGGCGATATCGTGGGTCAACCCATAGAGATCCTTATATAGTCCACCAAGCGCACATAAAATCTGTTTCTTGTAGCGTGGAGTGAGACCATCATACGAATGAGCGCGTATATTCTCTACTTCCTTGATAGAGGCTCGCAGAGCCTGTGTCTGGTCAGTCCGGTCTGGATCTTCTGTTGCCATCCACACCGCCCTTTGTATGATGAACCCTATTTGTTCGGCGCTACCACTGATCGCGGCATCTATTGCTGTGTTTGTCAGCTCCTGTGCCTTGTCGTGATCCTCGCGTCGTCCCTGACGATGCCACCTCGCCATGAAGTAATTAGCCGTGTGCCACCTTATTATCGAATCGTTCTTTGACACCTCCAACGAGAGGGATTCTTCTGCCCTGGCGATTGCGAGATCTATGTCCCTGCTATGCCCCGTTTGAAGGTATCGTCGATAGTATTGTTCACAAAGGTTATGAAGGAGCTGCAGATATATTGTTGAATTGACCTCCGCGAGGGCAATAGCTCGCTCCGCATTATCGATATGAGTGTCAACCTTTTCACCTATCGCCAGCTCGGCAGGAATGTACGCCATATGCTTCTCTTCCAAGCCACTTGTCATGATTTGAACAAGGAAATCCTCCTTTGGAACTATGTGGCGAACCTCTTTGAAGATATCCCGGGCCTTTTGCAAGTCATCTGTGTTCCCGGTCTCATCGTACCGCGTGATATAGAAAGCACCAAATCCCAATAAGAAGACGAAATTACTATGCCCTCCAAGAGCCTCGATTGACTCGATTTCGGTGATGATCAGGTCGAGGTCTGTGCTTTGCTTGGCTCGTCCATATCGTATTTGCAGGTTCATAATCAGGAACATCCGATACGCGAGCTGCTCTGGCTTAGCTTGGACTGCCAATTGGGAGTATTCGATTGCTTTATTGAGACTTTCCTCTTCCTCTTGACTTGTGGCGGGTTGTCGTGCCTCGTACGCAAATGCAATACTTCTCAAGACACCTGCCCTTCCAGGGTCATTATCCGGCAGTCTCGACAGTTCTTCCTTCTTGCGGAGGATTCGTTCGGTGGCTGTATCTGACTTCTGGTGTCTGGATCTCCCGCTCTTTGGATCCATACAAGTCCACCAATTCTTGTCAGCATTCATAGAGGCGATAAAGGCATCCCTGGTCTGCACTGCTGCATTTCCGAGAGCCAATAGCGCTTGTTCCTGGATGAATTGTTGAATAGTTTTGCGTTTAGCATGAGGCCTTGGCGTGATACTTGTGGGTGTTGCAATCCTAGTTTTCTGTCCACCCACATTAAGTCCTGACTTTTCACACCCCCAAGAGTTTTTATACACACCTCGCAACTTTCCCCATGATCTGGCATCAGAACCGGAGCCGATATCGTTATTTGAGCTTCTTTGACCACATTTCTCCACCCTGGAAACTTTGATGATTCGTTAGCAGTTCTCCTGGTGCTTGGGACTACTGCATGAGCATACCCGCACTCTTGCCCAGATCACCAGCCGATCGCCTTCCTCGATGAGGTCCAGAAAGTGCTCGGCGCTCTTCTCATCTTCATTCCCGCCTCGCTTCCAGGTCACGACTTGTTGCTGCCATTGGGATTGAAGATTATTCTTCACCAGGGTCGTGCTGATATCTCCACTCGACTGGGCATGGCCCATGGGCAGATTCTTGAAGTATAGCCCTTGCTCCTGAATCCACTCGCCGAATTCCTCTGGACTCGATCGGACGTAGGCCGGGTCACTCAAGTCGTGGAACAAGTTGGGATCGGGTTCTTCGGCCCAGGCGCCTAAAATCGAGACTTCGAACCAGGACCAGAGCCCATTCTGGGGGTTCCCATATCCCTGATCGTGGCTGGTAATATCGAAGTGGATGGCAGAGACCTTGGCGGGGAGTGGGCGAGAAGCGAGGTATAACGCGGTCCACTGATGAGGGACCGAACTCGACCGATCAGGCGGGGGGAGACTCACCACTTCGTTCCTGCCCCCCCAGAGTGCGAGGCCTTTCAGCCTGGGGTAATTAGTCATCTTGAGTCGGGTTGCGGTGTTATGCGGATGATGGGGGAAGGAGATGATCCACGAAGAGGGGATAAGGCTGGCGTACGCAGTGTGATGGAACAGCTGGAGGCCTGACTCGGTCAGGCGGATACGTTGATGCTAGATTGACAAATGAGATCAGGCAGCTAACGTGTGGCTGAGACGCAGCGTTGATGAACTGATTGGTCGGGGATGATCTTTGAACAGAAAGAGATATCACTTATTTCTACCAGCCAAGGACTGTTTGATCTTTCTAGGCAGGCCTTGGCGCTGGCACTGCCACGTCATCCCATCTACTACATATTTGCTTTTACCCTGAGATATCGCTATATACATCAACCCTGTGTAGCATAGTATGACTGCTTTGGAGTATCAAGACTAACATAGTGCCTTGTAACACGCCTCCATTCCATATGAATAAAACTACATGCTAGGCTAGAGTGGCGATCGACCGACCGGCATACAGGTCAGCTTATACCTTGCATGGCTGTTGTCTTCAAATCTATGACATGTTCAAGAACGTTACATTTGGTTCTTCATTTACGTACAATGCGACAAATAACGCTCTCGCCACCTCCCATCAGTATTCATCCCCGCGTGGGCTGTAAAGAACCCAACCCGCCTATGTTGAATACGCTAAGCGATCCCTTAACAGCCTTCTTCCCCCACCTCCGCGCCCCACTCCTTTCATACCCACAAACACAGCAGGCCTGCAGACTCGACAAACTACGCCTAGGCATAGGTGCAGGCGAACGAACTCCACTGCTTAGGCTGGCCAATGGTGGCAAATGCCCCCTCCAGCGCTCCGCTGCTGGAGCCACTGCAGCCAACATCGCTAGAGAGAGAGATCAGTCCCGTCACACACGATAGCCATCCTTCCCCCCGTGATCGTAAACACTTACATCCAGAAGGTGCAGACATTGCCATCCCACACGCTGACCGACTGGACTTTATCATTCCAGCTCGCGTCCTTGCCGGCGAAGGAGACTTTTCGGGCGTCAGCATGCGAAGAGAAGGCGGACTCGGGGAGAGCCAGGGCAAGGGTGAGAACATACTGCATTGGTTCACGTTGGTGCTCTGGTAGTTTGTGCAGGTGCCCGTGAACTCGGTGCCGGTGCACATGGTGCCCCAGGTGATGGAGGCGGTGGCTCCGTGGAGGAGACTGAGGAGAGTGGCGGCGGCTGCGATGGACTTCATTGTGATAGGGGGTGAGGATGGTAGATGCAGGTAGGCAGATGTGATGTTGCAGTATGAGGAGGATTGGTTTGTCGAGTGTGATTGTAGTCAAACTTGGGAGGTTGTGAAGGGGTTTATATATTGTTGGGAAATGCCCCTGCTTACACACTCAACCTGGGTGTCTCTGCTTGAAAGACCAATATGGTAGGAGTCTTCTTTCTTCAGCCTCACGGACATGATGCGCGCTCGAGTCAGAGCATGCATACTTCGTATAGGTCTCAAAATCGAGTAGATTTAGCTGGACCCTTCAGAGCCGGATTAGGGCACGATTGACTCGGTCGTATTGCGAAGCTCCACTTGAATCTCTCATCAATCGGCTTGGTAAGCTTATGCCCTTTCTGCACGGCTTAGCCTCGTGAAAGACATCAAGCTGCATGTCTTCAACTAGACTAGACTATCTAAAAAGAGGCTGATACCCGAACTACAGAGTGGACAATGTTCCTGCGGTGGTTACGCCGCCCGCGGGGCTCGCCGAGCTCGGCGCAGCTAACCCAAGTAAGAGCAATCCGTCTCCGTGTCCGTCAGCGTACTAAACTATCGTACACGAACCCTTCGGCGAGCCCGACACTCCACTCTACTGACTTTGTTCCATATGACTCGGGTATGTGCAGGTAGGTAGCATCGACTGAGTCAGGTCGGGGCCTGACGATTGGGCTGGCCTGGAGTTCGCGGGGGTAGAATCAATCTATCTATGGTATTGTCAAAATCTCGGGGTTGCATTGTTGCTCTGAGATTCCGAGACCATAAGAGATCATATGGACAAGTGATATTGTCTAATGCAACAATCATCTTCCCGAGGTTGCACCGGTGATTGTTGCTGCGATGGTTTGAGCGTCCATTATGTCGACAATATGCTTCACGGCTGAACTAGGTGATTGACTCATGCGAGCGGGGTGTAAGGGCGATAGTGGCCGCGTACCCACGGCTAGAGGGGTGCAATATCGATGGAAATCAAACTATGGTAGGGCCATTAGTGGCTGGTGGCACTGCATTTTACGCATCGAACATGGAGATTTACTCAAGAAATTCTACCTCAATCAGAAGAAGTAACGTGAGACAAGTTCCATCAAATTGAGCTAGGCACAAACAAAGGCACTTCTAGAGAGCTAGGAATATCTACTATCTACCCAATAGTCCATAATATAACATCCCTAAAGAGCGCGGACCCACTCCAGAGCGGTCTCCGGCTCCAACCGCTTCGTGTAATCCGGGTCCAAGAACACATTGCGCACCACCCCGTCCGCGCCCACGAGCACGGTCGCCGGGATCGGCACCTCCAAGCTCTGATCGCCGTACTTCTTCTCCCAATCGACCCCGAAGCCGGCCAGGATCGGGCCGAACGCCTCGGGCTGCTTCCACACGATCCCCAGCTGCCGGGCGAGCTGGTTCCCCACGTCCGAGAGCACGGGGAATTCAAGGGCGTGCTTCTCCGCCACGGACAGGGAGGTGTCCGGGAGGTGCGGGGAGACGGCCGCAAGGGTGACACCCGCGGCGGTGAATTCGGGCAGGCGGGATTGCAGAGCGCGCATCTCGAGGTTGCAGAAGGGGCACCATTCCCCGCGGTAGAAGGACAGGAGGAGGGGGCCCTTGGCTAGGAGGCTGGCGCTGGTGACCTCATTGCCGGTGGCGTCTTTCAAGGTAAAGTCGGGGAGCTTCTGGCCGGGCTGAATGGCCTTGCTGACGTCGAAGGAGTCTTGCAGGGCTTGCACGCCGGAGTTGAAGGTGTCGATGACGGGGGCTGGGGCCGCCTTTTGGAAGTCGGCGTAGGCGCTTTGGAGGGAGGCTTGAAGAGACATTTTGAGGTTTTCAGGCGGTTTGAGCTCGAGAAAGGTCTGGGCTCATGGGAATGGAGACTTGGGATGTTCTGGACAAGTGGGTTATGTGATGCGATGGTGAGAAAAGTGGCATTGGGTTGGATATCGCGTTGCTCTTTATAGCTATCATCTTGCTACTAGAGCCGCACAAGGTCTTTGGCATGATGCATTCTTGCTGCTCAGCAAGACGATGCTTGGAAATCCAGGCGACATGAACATTAGTAAGTTTCGTGAGATCTACCTCAGCCGCAGCCGAAGCGTTGACGGAGATGTAGATTAGATCGGGGCCGTGGGGGCCGGGGGGGTCCCTGCCATCGGCGTCGCTTACCTAGTAGGGACTAGTCTCGCCGAGCTCGGCGAGGGCCCGCGCTGAGCCAATCACCGCACATTCTTGGACCCGGCCTTTGGGAAGGTTGGCAATGCATGCTTCATCAGCAGAATGTGAATACGAAGAGTTGGGTGTGGTCAATTCATGCAGACGTAAGGATTGAGGCTCTTGGACGCTTTCCTTGATTACCAATACTACCACGAGAGAATGAAAGGGTTGCTGGAAGTGCCTCATGAGCCTCTGGTCGAGGTAATTCGACACCAAAGTTATTCCAAAATGATATAAGAAGCTGCTTGACCTCGAATAACGGATAAGGAATCATTCGCCTTTCAGCACACCCAAGCTCTATTATTTCCGGCCATAAAAGTCCAGGAGAAATCGCTGAGATGTCCAAGTTGATTGCCATCACAGGTGTCACGGGAGTCCAGGCAAGTGTGCTTCCCACGAATCCAGGGCATCTTACTTACAATCTACAGGGAGGCTCCGTCGCAAGCACATACCTCCAGCTTCCAGGATGGAAGGTCCGCGGTGTCACCCGCAACCCATCTTCTCCCAAAGCCATGGAATTACAGGCGCGAGGCGTCGAGATCGTCTACGGGGACCTGAATTACCCTGACAGCCTGGAAGCAGCATTCCAGAATGCAACCATCATCTTCGGCGTGACTGACTTCTGGACAATCTTCCAAGACGCCGAGAGCATGACGAAGAAACAACCAGACCAGGACCTCACGGAATATTGCTTTGAAGTAGAGGTCCAGCAGGGAAAGAATCTGGCGGAGGCCGCCGCCCGGATTCCGACATTGGAACGCTTTATTTTCAGTTCCATGGCGTCCGCGAATAAGTGGAGCAAAGGAAAATTCCCCAGAGTCTACCACATGGACTCGAAAGCGGTGGTGGTCGAACATGTTCGAAGTCTGCCAGGCTTGAAAGACCGCTTCTCGCAGATCCAGGCACCGATCTACTTCAATCTGCTTTGGCAATGGGGTCTTCCGACAACACCAAAAAAGGTTTCGTCATCACTTGTTCTTCGTGAGGTTACGTTTATTGACGCTCTTCTCTAGCAAGCCGAGGGCTCCTATCGAATCTCCGGGGTTGGCCCGGCTGACATTCCCGTTCCCTTTGGAGACGTGCAAAACGACTTTGGTCGGTGTGTTAAAGCGGTAGCGGATGGACTTCCCGGCTTGAACCTTTTGGCTGTCGGAGAGTTCCTGTCATGGGAGGCGTATCTTGACATCTGGTGCCAGTCGCAGGGGGTACCGAACGGTGGCTACGAACAGCACACCATTGAATCATTCGAGAAGCTCCTGCCTGGTGGACTTGGTCGGGAATTCGGGGAGAACGTGCTTTTCGCGCAGCAGTTCGGCTATGACGGAGGTGATCCCACGGTGGTCCGACCCTCGCATGTAAGCAGATTGCCTTTGCCCGGATCCTGGAAACAGGACCAAGGTTCTAACAGGACATAGTTCGGCATCGAAATGACTTCCTTCAAGGAGTACTGCGAGCGAACCGACTTTAGCTCTATTTTCTAAAGCAAGCAATATGTATTCAGCTAGTGGTGCGATGGCCCATAGCGTCTTTACCTTGAGCATGATATTTGCAATTTCTGGCATCCTTTACAAGGTCTCTGTCCATCACATCTGACTTTCCGCTGGCGGCACACGCCGCAGGCATGCGTCATCCCCGTAGTTGAAGTTTCAACCTGTTCCTCGAGTGTCGAAGTCGTGTATTCGCAAGTATGGTTATGCTTGACACAGTTCTGACATGGTTGCTGCTTGTCACATTTCACCCTTCGTCGGCGGCAATGGAGACATGGCTGGAGCCTCGTTGTGTAGCGATGGGTACCTGGCGCATCTGTCAAGGACGGCGGAGAGGTGGATCGTTGGGCCTCCTCCCACAGCCTTTCTCCGGCATGATCACATGCACAATCCAACCAAGGGAAGGCCTTAAGCAGTGCCCGCAGAGAACGCCAGCTTGGGATTGAGGCAAGACTGACGACGGTCGCAAGCTTCTGTGCGAACCACGATCTTTCGATGGTGTGCTGCGCGGCTATGCCACCGATCGTAAGGAGCCACACGAGAAGCCCATTGTCCGCATCGAGTGTGTAATTATCAAATAGAGGTTCCTCGCTCAACTCCCGGCGCAGAAGCCCTGCGAGACGGGGAAGTGGCGAGCCGACAGGAGGAATGGGGAAAATGACCCCAACGCTAAATATGAGCAGGCCAAGCCTGCAGGCTTCATATCCGGGGTACCATTCTCTGTCGTCGCATTCCGCTCCTGTGGGCAGCGACATAACATGGAAGTGGACTAGGTTCCGGATGTCACACAACAAGCTGGTGTCGTGTGGTGCATTGTCGCCGTTCACATATGCATGAACCATGCTGCAGTACATGACGAAACCCTGCAATACGCACGCGAGGGCAAATGGTAGGCCAGCATTTTGGAATTTCTGCACCCCATGGTCCCACCATCCCCCAGACGAACTGAAATGGAACCGCCAATCGGGATTGTCATGCCCGCGGTTGGAATAGAATGGAATCTGAGGCTTGGTCAAGGTCAAAGTGGAGTTCACCAAGGTCCGGCTAAGTGCAAGATTAGCGAGGCTGCTACCAAAGAAACACATTAGGACCTTACTAGAAAATCGCCAAGGAGGCTCCCGGAATCCTGATCCTTTGGAGCCCGCCCTTCAGGGCCACTAGCTTGCAGAGGCCCGCCTGATGAGACATGTGCGGCACACGCGCCCCGTGAATATTGAGCCATTGTAGGCCTTGTAGTGGCGAATTGAATGGCGAAGAGCCGGTCCAATCTCGATCTTGAAAGGCATGATCCACTGCCTCAGTTAACATGAGAACGGCCAGGATACTTGCGTCTGTTACTGCAGTCGCAGCGTGCTGCAGCGCCTTGTTCGCTCTCGTCGCTGCCTCTTGCTGACATAACATTAACAACTGCTTGTTCTCCAAGACCATCGAGGTAGGTGTGCTCTTTTGATTCACGAGGCAATGCGTAAGCCTATGTGTGACGGCTGAGAACAGCAGCGCATTGAACAGCGCTGGGTTTTCTAGGGAGACGGGCAGCCAAGCATCCAGATAAGGGTTCTTGGCTCCTGAGCTCGGGATCATTCGAGGCGTCATGATGCTCAACCCTACAGCCAAGAATCAGTGGGGAGTAGACTTTCGGGGGGGTCTGTAATGCGGAATACATACGATACTGCAAGCAATTGCTGACGATGTCCGAGGGCAGTGTGGAGGGATATGTTCTGAAGGGGTCTATCTCACTCCCTGTGGCAGCACCCATCATCGGAAGGGTGGAAACACCATCTTTGGACGAACTCCGGATTTCCTCCACCTTGTTCTCGTGCTCGTTGAAAAAATCGTGGTTCTCCATGTGGGTGATCAGGCAGTGGTGATACCGATCTTGGTACTCCGTACAATACTTCCGCTTGGCGTTATCTGGCTCGAGATTGCAAGCTTTTATGTGGCTGATGGATGGAGATGAGGGGGTGCGGCTGGAAGACGCTCATGCCCCACGCTAGTCCTTAAGAGCGGCCGGTATAGCCGTTCAGCTGGTGCATATAATCCATCGGTAAGGCGGCGCTTTTTATATCGCTGATCGCTGTGGAGGAAGGACTCTGAAAAGTGTGAATTGATTCGGTGTTTCATGTCGGACAGCCTGAGGTAGGTAGGTAATGAATAGATGCCTCTGTCATGTAGACGAATGTAAGGGAAGCTGCCAATGGCAGAAACAGCCAAGCCAAGAAGGATTCCGGTCTACGGACGCCCAAGCACGCCATAGACGCAGTCACATGATCTGAAGGCGGTGACACCCTCTTCTATCATGGGATCCGTAGCGGTAGCTAAACTCGGATGGGTGACGATGCCTTGCTGATTTCCTTGTTGGTTTCTCGCCAACGCCTCGCAGACCCCATGAATTTTGATGATTTGGATAGTGTGTGGGAAGACTGAGGTTTGTGGGCTGCGAAGGCGCGAAGGCCACGTGTGGCTGCTTGCACCGGCAGTCGTTTTTGTATGGGAAATCTCAGGGTACCTTCCTGATCTGGGATAGAGCTAGCGCCCCACTATCTTTTCCTTCCAGGGCCTAGCCAGGTGTCCACGGTAGTATCCAGGATCATGATCCATGATAGCACCGTCATTTCTTGATCTTAATCTCAACAAAATCAAAGGCGGTGAGCAATATAGGCAAGAAGTCATGTGAGCCTGGAGGAGCTGGAGAATCAATTGCTGTAGCATCAGCTTCCTAAGCTTGGCTTCCTCAGCTTGGGTCGACTCTCAACAAAAACCGCCGCAAGCATGTGATTGCGAGCCCGGACCAACAGTTGACCCGCAATCACATGTCAGAGGCCCCACCTGCCAGCGCCTTCGACCAATCGATACCCGACGATAATAAGACGGAGGTCGGGTGGAACCGCTTGGCCCCCAACCAGCAACAACCAGCAATGCGGAGAGACCATGGGTAAGTTAGAGGTCAGGTGACTCGGCAAAAGAGGGGGAAGACTCGGGAGAAGGAGTGCAGTGCCCAGTGAGTCCACGGTGAGAACGAAGAGGGGCATCCGCCACTGATGCATGCACGACAGGGGACAATTTACGGCCATTTGCTACCATACCACCGTCATCCTTGATAAACCCAGTAACTAAAGTTA